AAAACTCTCTGCTTTGCCACTATGAGTCTCCGCCCACTCACTGAAGGCAAGTGTGGAAAACATCTACCTTCAGAGCCTAAGTGGAAAAAACGCGACATCAGAGGGATTAGTCCACCTGTTAATGAATTCCGCAGGGGGCTTAGGCTGCGAAAAATTGGCACTAATTCCGCAGGATGCACAAAATTGATAATGAATGCAATTCGAATTCCGCAGCGCAATCAGAAAAGTGAAATCCGCACGAAGTTTGAAGCCAGAAAAATACGGAAGCCAGACGCGCAATCAAACAGAAGCTACTGGACCAGGAGCAACGTTCAAGTTCGTCGAACCACTCGACCATTGTATTGCTCGAGAAGCATATATGACGTGAACGCAATTGTGAACGCGATGTATGAATACCGCCTTTCGGCTCACCAAACACCAAGTACGAGAGTAATGAGACAACTAAGCAAGTCAGCAACCTTGCAGAAGTTGCAGTTGACATCCTGATTTGCTAATGTGTGGGTGTGCAGTGTACTCTATTACTGTTGTGGGGTTGCCTTCATGATATAACACATCTTTGAATTGCTCAAGCACCGTAACCAATGATGAGTTGAACTGGTTTTCATTCCTTTGCAACTAAATAATGTATGTTTGATATAATGTATTTTTCTATAGTAAATACAAGCGGGAACTTTGGTGAGGCTCTCAACTCAAGTCAGACATAGAACATTGCTCATTACTGCGCTGACACCGTGACACGTGTCGGCTGTCAGTGTCTTCCAAAGTTTATTTAAATTTTCGAATGTTGCTTCAAAAAAAAAACAAGGACTAATCCATCTTCTTCAGTATGAATTTTTTAGTTTTTCAGTATTCTGCGCAGTGTATTATATCTCAGTTTTCTTGCATTAACCACGAGAAACACAAATGTTTGCTTGTATACAAACTATCTCTTAAAACGTTGAATGAGATTTCCCAATCATCAATCTTCATATTCTCAATGTCACTAACTTCATTACAGGCAACAACACATTTTGTCTCCGGCCTTCATAAGTATTAAGTAACGATCTATTTTGTTAACAAAACTAAGCTAAAATTTTCTGGCATGATAGAAAAAGCATTTTATTTATTGTGTGGCAATCGAACCCTACAAATCGTTTTCCGGACCAATATTTAATTAATGGCTTATATTGACGAGCAGCGAGTCAGGTGCTGTAACTGTTAACAGTGACTGATGTTGCTGCGTCATTGATGATAAATTTATTATAATTTCAATCATTTTATTGGAGTCTTTACATACAAACTACAGTCTTACATGCAAATGTTTCAACTAGTTATCTATTTTTGGCTAATACTCGAGGCATCTTTTTTTGGCAAGAAATTCACTTATGTGGACGTCATTAAATTTTTTAAATTAATTTTTAAATGTTGCAAAATTTCTTGCAGCCCATGATGGAAAACATTGTTGAAAATGAAGCATTGAGAGACTTGTGGTTCCAGCAGGATGGGGCTACAGCTCACACAGCTCGAATGTCACTCAATGTTTTGAAACGCATGTTCCCAGACTCTGAGGGGTGATTTACAGTGGCCTGCAAGGTCACCTGATTTGAGACAATTTGTCATTCATAGTACATTTATACTAAACCATGAATAAAAATACCTCAATATAAATTAAAGACTGCCACTTAATATTTTTAAATATTTGAAAAAATCAAAAAAATTGAAAAAATAAAAAAAAATCATGCTTTTTTTTATAAAAACTCCAGTGATTTAATCACATGATTTAATCATTGCCAACCCTGTTAGAGCCCTTTATTATCGAATGAGGAAACATCAATAGATGCATAAACAATTTCAAAATCGGACCGCCAATAAATATTGTTTGCACTCATCTCATTAGTATTTCTATCATTTGAACAAAACTATATTTTAGTATATAGTATATTGGTTTCGGCGCTCGTTAGACCATTAGACTTGTCCCTAATTCTTAATTTCACAGAATATTTACAGCTAGTTGCTGTTTCAAACATGCAACTCACTCAGCACGCTCCAGTTTTGATGTGCTTAACCGTTTGGTTACCTTACCTATTTGACCAGACCTGTAGCAGGTAGCTGGGATCGAACTCACAAGTCAGAGCTCAAATCATGGTACTGGTACTCTAAACTGTACCGACATGGCCACCCGAAAAAAATTATTTTCAAATGTGCGCAAAATCAATGGCATCAGTTGTAGACTCGTGTTAGATTTAGGTAATTAGGTAAAGAACTAAATATACATGCACATCGAAATTTGCAAGTAAAAATTACTTCTTGGCAAACACGGAAGCATCAGGATTGGCGTGATCCAGTATGACAGCATAGCTAGTTAAGAAATACTTATGAACGAAGTTTACGAAACATCAATGCTGGAAACGACGTGTATATATTTGCCAATTTTCTCAACGAAATATTTAAATTAATATTCTAATTGGATATTTATGAGGAAATTATGCATTAAAATGCTGTTTTTTATGTTAATAGAAGACAGTATTGTCAAATATCTTGCTATTTGAAGGTTGCGTAGGAAATGACCAGCTAAGGTAAAGGTAAATTTTCCTACATTTTACGTAAAATAGGTCTGAATACGTTAAAATCCTTATGACCCATGACCCATACTTGACTGTACATTGTTAGCATCTGATTGTTGTATGTCCTTCTAATGGAAATTCCAAGAAAAGGTACCAAGGCAAGGGCAGTGATTAAAACACTCTGACAGCAGTCAGTGCAGATTTTTTCATTACTCGGAGCAGCCGGTTGATGATTTGGAGAAGATGGTTGGTGATGTAGCAATGAAGTACGGGGATGGATGATTGCTGCGCCTTTGTGGTTGTTCCGTCTCCTTCCTATTCCTGTCTCCCATCCGTAGTATCCTATTCGCTTCAGTTTCACCATGATCCACTCTCCACCAACAGCCCGGGAACCAGGACCTCTCACCCTGCCCATTAATGGACCGACTCATCCATTGTGGCTAAGCCTTTAGACCTTACGCTCTTAGTCCGACAATGCACAATTTATTGTCTTGAATGGTGTTTTGAGTCAGAGGAGTTCTATGCGGCTTCACGACCTGAATTTAAAATAATGAAGGGCCGAGTTAATTTTATGTACACCAACAAATTTATTTAATGGATATATTAACTGATTAAACAATTATAGAATAGACTGTAAATTAATATACATCTGAATTTATGTAATATCCGAAAACTGATTTTAATTGATCTAACTGGCTGCTATGCTTTCGCTTTGAAGGTGATGCATGCTACCGTTTGCTACGTCATATCGAACCCGATGTCATTCACCCTGCGCGATGTCGGTCCTTCATTGAACAAAGTTTGGCAGGGTTTGCGCTATTTAAACAAGAGTTTATACATCGTCCTTAGATTTCAAGATCACGGTATGCACGGCTAACTAAATAAAATTATTCCAATGGATTACATGGTCAGCTATAGAAAGATTGGGTTCCAAAGGCCGGATCTCTTGTGAATCAAGTCACGAAAAGTTCAAGAATCGGCAACAGGCCATGGGCCTATTTCTTCAACGCCGACACTTCTATTCTATTCACAAGTATTCATTTTTCCCGACATAAATTTCGTTATGTACATCATTGGAAAACCTTTTTGAAATCTTATGTTATTAGGTTTATTAGAACGATGTTATTGAATAGGTACTGAAAATGAACTGCGAACAAGTTTAATTACATTACCCTTTATTGAGAAAAATCAAGTTTTGATATGAACTGAGATCGTTGGTTTAAGATTTTTGACTTTATCATTGCATGATTGAAATGTGTACATTTTTTCTTAAAAATTGGTTCCTAGATCAGTTTTTAGTGAAAAGAATCACATAATGTTCGAACTTATTTTAAAAACTTTGCTGAAATGTTACTGCTCCCGTTTCCGCATTATATGAGGCGACAACAGGCAACGTTGCATATGCGTGCAGTGAGCCAGTGAAATTGTTTGTGGGAGAAGGTACAATGGCGCATGAATGCATTACAGTACAATTTGCGTTTCTTTCCTATGCTTTAGGATTAAGGCAATGAAAGGACTCCTTTCATTGCCATTCAAAGTAGTAATCTTTTTAGACTAAATTGAGATGTTATTCGTATAATCGTATTTGTTGAATCGTAAAAACATAGCAATTCCGTGAGAATGTTCAAGATCTCTTACGAAATCCGTGCAATGGCAGTTCTGTGCAATTCCGTGAGAATTGTGAAAATGAGTACTCCTGTTCATTACCTTAAATTTCCAATCGGGCTTCAGAGCCGCAACTAGAACTTCCCACCATTACTGGAACCGCGAGATTTCTGTCAGATGAATTGCCTTCTACCTAATTGTTAACAAAAGTGCACAATTAGGCTGCAAGATGACAATTGTATTAAAATTTCATCACGCTGGAGCCGCAAGATTTCACAAACAAGTAGAAAATTTACAATCCTGACTGAAGGGAGATGACAATGACATGACTCCGCCCACAATTACATTTGAGCACTATATATTAGAATTCCACCTGGCTACCATGGCATCATCATCATCATCATGGTACCTTTTGTATACAATAACATTCATTTCTATTCACTATTGGAGCCTTGGAGGACAACAACAATATATATACTACCTAACCTAAGTATTATGGCCACTATGCAGAGGGTGGATGCAGCGTCGGCAACAACAAGTAATAAAGCAGTCTGACCGCTCTAATGCGACCGAAACTATGCAATCGAAAAAATGTTGTTTACATTTTTTGCGGGAACTGATCGCAACTGATNACAACAACAATATACCTAACCTAAGTATTATGGCAAGGGGCAACTTCTGTGAGTTCTGTCTTCTGCTGCAACAAAAATAGCTGCTTAACATTATTTAAAATAAATCTAGAAATTATAAACATGATCTATCAAAATAGATTGTTTGATTAATAAAAACTAGCTAATACCTAATAGGGCTATTAGCTACCTAATTACATAGAATTAAATTTAAATAGTTTACCTTTTAGTCTTGCATCAAGTGTTTCTTCCTCATTCTCTGAAGTAGCCATTGAGAGACACTTCAAGTTCAATTAGTCCTGGCACCTAGTAACAATTCTAACAAATATCAATATGCGTAAATATTTCAACTTTCAAGTAACTTGGGAGGCCTGAGGTGGGACTTGCCGACTTGGGTAGGTATTACGTATGTCGTATTAAGCCTATAAAACAAACATTATTTTAGCAGTCACAGAAAAAAATTACCGACTTCATAAAAACCTGAATAAGTTTGGGAATTTTTCACCGATTTACGTAGTCAAAAACTCAAATACAGAAAGAACAGGCGCGCTGACGGTGCTACTGTGTTATGAGACTGAGAGTGAGAGACTGAAAGCCATCATGCGTTCATGCCCCATGGCTTATTACTGTCAACGAGACAGCGACGAAATTTGACAGAACATCCGCTTTTTGTATGATGTGATTTCGGGAATTCAGATTTCTTGTGAAACCTACTCCAATAGAATAATTATTTTACTTGGAAAATACGTATAATCAGATATTGTCATTAAGGAATTTAAATTAAATATAACGATAGTTTGATAAACGAGAGGAACTTTAGTTTTTGGTTCATCGGGATTCATCAGTAGTCGCAGGTTCGGTTGACACCGCGTACATGGCCGTCAGCTTCTGAGTTTCGGAACGAATCAGTAACTCTGTGACCGCAGCAGTGGTAGGAGGTGCAGAAAATGGCTTCAAATATTCGTGCGTGCTGCATTTTTTTGGTTGTCATTTTAACAAGTGCTATTGCGGATATAAATTCACGCGCTAAAAAAAATGAGATTCCACATCTATCACGATCATTATCCAGTGAAGACATAAGAAAATCCCAAAAAGAATTTTTTAACCTGTTGGGGTCAACGCCTGGTTTATCGGAATCTAAAAATGTTTCGAACACCATTCAAATATTGAACACCCTTGAAGGGCAAAAACTAATGAGAAAACTGGTGGATTCTCTGGTGCCTACCATTGGTAGAGATGACAGTGGTGAGCTTCTACATAATTTCTGGATGCTTATGAGCGATTATGCACCAGATCATGTTGCTGAAAAACTTAAACAAATTGAAAATCTATACGGTGAGATAGATTCCTTACCCGCAGCATTTGCCAGTTTAATGACTGCTGGGAGCAAGTCTCCGATTGCTTTAATTCTGCAAGAAGTAATTCCAAATTTCAACGCTTCTGAGCTGCTCAGAAACATTGCGCCAACGTCAGCTCCCGGCATGGCTGACGCTAGCCTCACAACCCGCTTGCTCCACCTCTTTACTCCTGCAATTGATACATTTTTAAAAGAAAATAACATTGATCTGCAGACAGATGCAATTGTGCAAATGGTATCAAGTCTCACTTCGCAGTTTCAAGGAGTTGGCCGCAGCAAAAGCACATCGGAAGTTAGCACAAAGAAATCAAAATCGCGTGGAAATGATGACCCTAATCCGTTAAGCGCTTTGCTACCTCTTCTGGGCATGATGGGAACGCAGGGCAAGAATGGGAATAAGATGTTTGAAGGACTCATGGGCATGTTGAGTAATGGTGGAGGTGAGAACATCATGGAGAATTTGTCCACGATGCTCGGCAGTGGCGGCAATAAAAACAATTTAATTGAGACAGTTATGGGCATGTTGAACAGTGGAAAGACGGGCGACAACAACGCTATGGGGATGATGATGTCACTCATCAATGGAATGAACAATAACAAGAAAGAAAACGCTAATTTCAACATGATTGCCTCCGTTATGGAATTGATGTCTGCCGGAAGCGGTGGTGAAGAAAACAACCCTATGGCAAGCATCGCAAAAATGGCCATTGATATGATCGGCAAAAATGCTGGCAAAAAAAGCGAAAAACTCAACAAAAAGGACGATAAAACTATTATTCAAGGAAAAATAAAACCCCATGAAGAAATTTCCGCCAATTCGAAAAAGGAACACAAGGAACCCAGTGTAGTTATTCCATCTTCTAATAACAATCAGCGGTAAGTAAGGCATCATCTAACTTTATGATTTCGATGTGTGTCAAACCCCGCTTGTCTATAGTGCTTCTCTTCTGAATACTTGTTCACGAAAAGTAATGCTTTTTCTTTATGCGAAATAAAGATTAGATACTTCTAGGACTAAAATTATTATCCGTGCACGTGTTCAAGTTAGCATATATTCAGAGGTGGGCAGTAGCGCGCCATCTGAAGCGGCCGCTACTAGCGGCCGCTACATTTTCGGTAGCGGTAGCGGCGCTACATTTAAGCAATTGTAGCGATAGCGGTTTAAGTAGCGACGCGAGGTTTTGCCGCTACAGCGCTACCGCTACATTCATAGATAAAGACTTTAGATTTTTCTTAATAGTATTAAATATTATTTAAAAACCAGCATGATACATACATAATATAAATTACAGAATAAAACTTTACAAAAGATTTCGGTGTAATGTTGTCAACCTCAGCCTGTTACTAGTGTCAACATGTTAGTTGTTAGTCCAGAGGTGGGCAGTAGCGCGCTACATGTAGAAATACTTGTTCACGAAAAAAAAACTTTTTCTTAATGCGAAATAAAGATTAGATACTTCTAGGACTAAAATTATTATCCGTGCACGTGTTCAAGTTAGCATATATTCAGAGGTGGGCAGTAGCGCGCCATCTGAAGCGGCCGCTACTAGCGGCCGCTACATTTTCGGTAGCGGTAGCGGCGCTACATTTAAGCAATTGTAGCGATAGCGGTTTAAGTAGCGACGCGAGGTTTTGCCGCTACAGCGCTACCGCTACATTCATAGATAAAGACTTTAGATTTTTCTTAATAGTATTAAATATTATTTAAAAACCAGCATGATACATACATAATATAAATTACAGAATAAAACTTTACAAAAGATTTCGGTGTAATGTTGTCAACCTCAGCCTGTTACTAGTGTCAACATGTTAGTTGTTAGTCCAGAGGTGGGCAGTAGCGCGCTACATGTAGCGGCCGCTACTAGCGGCCGCTATATTTTCAGTAGCGGTAGCGGCGCTACATTTAAGCAATTGTAGCGGTAGCGTCCGCTACATTTAGAGCATGTAGCGGTAGCGGTCGCTACATTTCAAAGTAGCGTTGCCCAGCTCTGCATATATTTTAAAAATGGATTTTTATGTGATATACAATTGTGGAATACTATTATAATGTAAATGCACTAGAACCATTGAACGATACTGAGGTGATAAATTGTTCATAATAATATTAATTTTGGTGCCACTTCTACGTCGTGGTTTTTCATGGTCTGTATGAAGGGTTTATGTTGTAACTTCAAAAATATTTCTTGTGTTTCTGCGAATTTGTGTTGTTCGTTTGAACCTAATCAGTGTTCTGCTTGAGGGGTTTATGTTGTATGTTTGAACGCTATTCATGGTTTTAATTAAGGGTTCACGCTGTGCTCATCATTCGTGTGTGCATCGTGGGATTCATGCTACAAGATCCTGCAGCTTATGCAATGCTTCAGTGGTGTCGTTAGGAACTGCCTCCAGACAGGCTCGTCATGCAGCGGTAGCGAGCTACTTACGGTCGCATGGATTGTACGGTTAGGATGAAGTGAGCGAACGGTTCGCAACTTCCCCCTCTCACCCGCCTCTGCACTCTCTGCCGCCCCTGCACTCTCACCCACCTCTGCTCTCTCACCCGGTTGTGCCGTTAAAGGACCAGTTTACCTGTGTCGCCTCTCCCTCTCCCTGCCGCACGGCTCTCCCTGCGCCATATCTGGAATTATCCCTGAAGCGCTTCAGGACGTTCAACTGAGCCGGTGTGCTCGTCTAGCTCAGCGATGTCGTAGGCCTAATATTGCAACAGGAATTCCTTGAATAATGTGTGACGCGACCGATTTCTGACGTGATGCTTGGCAATGTCAGGCTACAGAAGCAGGATGATCATGATCCATCCCTTCGAAGGACCGAATCGACACTTCTCGAACGCAAAACCTAACTTAACGTTTAACTCGCCCAGTCATAACTCCTTCAATACTGAACGGATTTCACTTAAATTTGGAACATACGTAGGTAGTACCAATGCACTGCGATAGGAATTAGAACAGATTTCTAAATTAATTTGTTTTTTATTAATACGCAAAAACGCAATGTTGGAGCAACTCGCCCAGTCATAATTTTTTTAATACTGAACGGATCGCCTTGAAATTTGGAATTTAAGTACTTTCTGTAAATGCGCTAGTTGAAGAATGGTCAAAATTGGATGAATTTCCACTATATCCAATTAAGTTGAGGAAACCTGAAGAATGACACAATAATTTCAAAGAAAAGCATGGTCTTTGCACATTGGGTACGTTACAGACATTGCGTTTATGCATATTAATAAAAAACTAATTAATGTAAAAATCTGTTATAATTCCTATCGCAGCGCATTGGTAATATCTACTTATGTCCCAAATTTGAATGAAATCCGTGTATTTAGACCTCTCGTGAACATTACTGTCTGGTTCGCATCTAAAAATACATCGTAAAAATTAAAATAACAGTAAATTTAACTGCATCTTCGGCATTTTATAAATTTTAAAAATTATTTTAGATTACTCGTAATCCCAAGAATGTTCATTTCTAAGGAATTTGTAACTCTATTAACTTCATTACACGGGTAATTGTTAGCTCGGTCACCGCTTGTCTTCCTGTTTTAGATGTCATTCTTCGCCTGTTGGTTAGGGGAGAAAGTTGATGATGACGCGGTCTCTATTTCCGCTGCGGCTTCTTTACGTTAGTAAACGTGTCGTTTCGGCAGCGGCGTTCCGTTTCGTCGTCCTGTTGAACGCCGCACATGTTGCGTTCAACAGGACGAAACATTTGCATGTAACAATACTCCTGCTGTGCGTTTTGATGACATCCTGTAACAATACGCATGCTGTTCGTATTTATGGCAATCCGTAACAATACTTTTGCTGTCCGTATTGATGGAAAGATCATATAGGCTCTTGGTGATAGACTGATAGGAATTCGCATGACGACGCATAATATCGTGGAAAGAGAAATTATTTTGGTGAACAATGCATTTATGCACTTACACTGTATAGTCAGTTGACTTTTTCAATGGGGCTATTGTGATCCTAGATGCAATGTCATGGTCACGAATTACGTTGAATACTCGTAGTTAATTCGTAATCTAGAAAAGTGTTGGTTTGAAAATTCGCCTTCAATGAGTTGCAAATTTAGTTCAAAGTACACTCCCCGATGATGCAATTTGAACTGAAAATGCATGCGGTAATCATCGATAATGCTAGAAGTGCACGACATTAATTAACAATGTACATGCATGCACTGTGTGGATCACACAAATTGAAATACATCTTCGTAACTCGACAAAATTTTATCAGGTCACGACTGCTGCACGTGCTGGAGCCGGCGCTCCTGAAGCTCCACACGAACACCGCATGCCACGCTAAACTGGGCGCAGTCATGTCGGCTGCTAAAACCATGCTGGATACAAAGGTGAGCTTGGAATTTGTTGAGAATTAAATTCATATACTGTATCTAAAAGTATAGAGGGGTTTTACGCGCACATTACTGAGAGTATTATGTACATAGAAATGAATACTTATGATGCCTCCTATACACTGAAATATGAGCAGTCATTGGGTTCGATAACTTTTTATATTGTTTTTTCTTTTTAATAAATAAGCTCTGATTTATGTCCACTCGAGTCATACAAAAGCTGTCTTGTCTTATACGACTTGACACGCTAGCGTATTCTTATTGTCGTCTGAGCACGTGGGCGTGTTAATTGCACGTCTCTTTCTCTCATAGGCTATTTTTATTTAACGTTTGGGCACTAGGTCAAATTTGTGCATAGTGACTTATGAGCGCATTTTTATTGCACTTCCGATCGTACGTCCGTGTTAAGACATCACATGCTTCTATCTACGCTGGTATAATTTGGCATACTTTTATTGTACGCCTGAGCATCTTGAAATTATTATTATTATTATTGAGCATCTTGAAATTATTATCGCACGCGGATCGCGTCCGCTTTGTTTTATCGCACGTCCTAATCAACTGATCGTATGTGTATGTTCTGAACACGTGTCCCTGAAGACGGTGGGCGTGAAAGGTTTCCTGTCGGCGGCGCTGCCGGTGGCGTTGGCTGGCTTACCAGGAGGTCCTGCGCTGCTGCAGGAGATCGACGACGCCATCAACGACCTCGGGATAAAGAACCGGCCATTATCGGACGTGCTCGCCTCCATTGCCGACGAAGGTATCGTGCATAATACTATAATACTTAAAATATTTAAATTGCCAAATGCGTGATTTTGACCATTTTGAGTTGCGTTGTTTTCTTGTGTTCATCATAACAAATAAGCCATATATAGTCATTTGAAATGACAAAATATTTTTGCCTTAAATAATAATAATAAGAATAACTAGCAAGTTTTAAGCTTTTGAGATTCTTGAACTCGTAGAATATTTGCCCGTGAGTGTTTATGAGTTTGTCGTTGTTCTGGAGCGTCATCATTTTTTCACTATTAATTAATGCTTCAATGTTGGCTGCAGTAGAAATATCATAAGAACATTATCCATTTGGGCCAACTCTATATACAAATTTTATCTTTTGCCGCCACGAAAATGTTCGCCATGTGTGACTAACGTTCGTGTTCTGAAGTTTCGTCAATCTTTTCCTTAATTATTCGAATTAAAATGTGGGTGAGATAACGACACGAATGTTGGAATTGGACTCGCAAATTTTCGTATAAGAATTCATTCGAGAAAACGACACTAATATTGGAATAGGTCTCGTTTTTTCGTGTATGAATTAGAACCCGGTTAAGTAGCGACATGAATGAGGTAATAGGTCTCGCTGTTCTCCGTGTATTAATTAGAATCTTATTAGTATTGACACGAATACTGGAATAATATACGATGCCGTGATGCAGGGGAGTGTGTGACGCTAGCACGGCGCGCCGCCCCCCATGTTGGTCGCCTGGTGTTGCTGCTGGCGGAGCCTGAGGTGCAGCAGGCGCTGCAGACGGTCCTGGTCGAGCCGACGACTGCCGCCCTAGACGGACTGGGACTTAAGGTATTCATGCCGCATTAATGACAATTGGAATTATTTTTTTATTATTAGAAGAATTTTTAATTGTGTCTGTACATAAGAGGAAGTTAAAAAAATTCACTTCAATCGTTAAGACATCTGCCTGATGATATACCTAACAACGATCATGTTGATTTTTTATAAGCAAACATGGAAGTGTCAGGAGACAACGACTCTGTGCCACCTTCTATAATTAATTAACGTAAGAATAAATTTCATTGTGTTATATATATATTAAAATAACTACTGTCCCTCACAATATTTTATAATAAATATTGTGCGGGACAAGTAATACGCTCTTTTTCAGGACTTATTGTAACATGGGGTGGTAGGTTACAAAGTTATTACTGAGGATCAGGTACATAGTTATCACCTTCGACCGACGTACGAGGAGATGACCTCACTCGAATAAATACCTAAATCATATAATTTACAATGTTGAAAATCTAAATATTTTCATATGCTACATGAGAGAACATTTTTTGAATGAACAAAATATGTCTATTTGAAACTTGCCCCCTTGATGAATATAATCTCATTGAAATTATGCAATAGATCCGCTACCTTCTGTTTACCTATTATTGGCTGTTAGAATTCCATTAAGCATGTCACGTCTCGCATTTGTTATAAAATATAATCGCCAATTGTATTATCTTATCTTGTAGGATCTGTGAAAAATGCCAGCTGTTCCTGTCAGCAAAAGATTAGTATTTATTATATTTATATAACTCGGGGTGGCCGAAGGGTTAAGATAACCAAGATTGGAGTAGCGAGTGGAAGACTGTCAGTGAGAAATTCTGGTCGAAATCGGCAAGGTGGCCGAGTGGTTAAGTATTGGCGACAGGCGAACATGGCCTAATCACCATAATACTGACATCACTATAATGCACTTTGTATCACTGGCTGAGTGCGATTGGCTCAGTACAAGATTGCTATTGATTAAAATACGCTACGAGGCCTGCTGTTTGTCTCACTACAAGATTAATATTAATTACTATTGAATATAACGCGCACTGCTGGAAGGATTTGATTAGCTCAGTGCGAAATTATTTTGATTGTTGCCAGGGTGTGACGCTATCTAACTGGCCCCAAATCTTGGGCCCGATGATAAGCATGGGCGCAGCTGGCCTGCCAGTGCAGCCCGTGCCGCTCTTGACCGCAGCGCAGGAACACATCACCGAACTCCTCCGCAACGCAACGCAACTCCTGAAACTAGTCCGCGGACAGACGCTGGAACAGGTTAACATATTATTTACGTTTACATATACTTTACGTTATCATATACTTTACGTTAACATATACTTTACGTTAACATATACTGTACGTTAACATATACTTTACGTTAAGCTAAAAGTGATATGACCAAAAGTAGGGGATAGAATTTTCAATTTAAGTGAATGTTGCATGATTTTTGCGTGATGAAGATTGACTAGCGCTAAAATCATTTATTGCTTAATATAACGTTGTATCTTAAGTTTAGGTCATTAGATTGCTCGAATCACTGATTAAACAAGAATTTAAAAACATGGAACACGCCACAAAAATTCACCATATTTTGATTTTTTAATTTCGACTGCACTAAACTGAGCATAACAATGTTGCTAACTATGGAGCTGGTCTACGAAAAGTTTCCCACGAATATATATATAATCTGTGAAAAGTTATATAATCAATTCTTACGACATGTTCTTTGCTTTTTGATTTCTAGTTTTGTCTAAGATGCTGCCTAATTCCTGAATATATATTGTGTGACATCTTTTATCAAATTCTAAAGCTCAGTATAAGTAAATTTCTCAATGCTCTAAGTCTCATTATCTTCAACAGTTTAAACACCCGAACGCCAAGTTGAGAACTTGTGGAGCTCTGTTTTGCAGTCAAGCACGCACGCAACTGCGGAAATTTCCTGATCAAATTCACACATAAATCTACGTGCAGATTTTTCCATCTATTCAATTATTATCACAAGTTTAAATTAAGTTTAATTTTCAGCATCAAATTCACATATAAGAATCTTGCAACGCAGTTAAGGATCCTGAAGCGCAAATCAACGATCTTGAAACGTACATTATCCATACATACTCCAAACAATACTGACATAGCAAAACCAACTACACCTAAATGCAACAAAAATCACTGCCACTCTCTTCATACCTGACTCGGCCGAATATAGCACACAACTCAACCAACACACTCATTCCAACAGAAAGCAACCCAAAAATACTAGGAGTTACTTTTGACCCAGAGCTTAATTTCAGCACACACATTAGTAATACGCACAACAAAGCCATCAACACCATCAAAATAATCAAATCCCTTACGGCAACACAACGGGGAAAACAAAAAGAACTAATCGCAACCACATTCCAAACAATCACGCGTCCAATCCTTGAATACGCAAACTCATCCTGGTCACCAATTATATCACCCACGCACATGAACAAACTCCAAACAGTCCAGAACGCAGCACTCAGGATAGCCACTGGCCGCACCGCAGACACCAACATCCATCACCAAGAAACCAAACTCCTACCCCTAACACAACACATCAAACTTCACGCTTCACAACTCAGACAGAAAGCACAAAATCTAACTCACCCACTACATACCCTCACCCTTAATCAGCCACACCCACACCTTCTCATGAAACACACCGTTTTCCACAACTCAGGTTTCACCACCAACATAGATACTCCGCCTGCACAAGCTACACAGGACGCAATCAAACAAAATCTAAAAAACAATCCACACTACAATTACAGAAAACTATCTTGCAACCCTCCCTCTCAATAAAATTTTAAACATCCCCGCACTACAGATCCACCCATCTGAAATCAACCTACCTAGACCTGCACGCAGGAACCTTGCCCAACTTCGCACAAACAAATCACCGCTACTTCTCTCATATCTGAATATAATAGACCCTGCCACACACCCTTCTCCACACTGCCCACTCTGTCTATCCAACACGCACGACACCATTCATCTTTTCTCCTGCCCTGAAATGCCCACATCCTTGTCGGTGGGTGACCTTTGGGCAGACCCCGTAAACGCCGCGGGGCTGCTGGCAAGCTGGGGCGACCGACTTGGCTGGCCCCAGAACTGGGTTTAGGCCCCGCCTCGCGCCGTGAGGCGAGGCGGGGAGGGTCAACAACAACAAATTAACGACCCTGAAGAGCAAGTTATCGACCCTGAATTGCGAGTTGACGATCTTGAGGCACGAGTTAACGCTGACGAAGCAAGAGTTTACAAACCTGAAAAGTGCGTCCTCGAAATTGGAATACAATTCCACTTAACGGAGTAATAAAAATCATCTTAATGCATCATTGAATAATTTTGAAGTGCACATGCGTGATTTCGACTATATAAGTTTATTACACACAGGTGACTCCTAAACTGGAGTACGAGTTGGGCTCAATGCTGCATCACCTTGGAGGTGTAGAGCACCTGCTCAGCCGACACGTGGGCAGCGATACCAGCTGCATCGCTCAGGTGGTGTGCAGAGCTGCGGAGAAGGAGACCGGCATCGCTGCTGCCATTCTAACTTCTTACAGGTAACTCTTATTCTCTTAACTTGTGCATTAGAAACCATCTCATAATGGTTTAAACAACGACAAATTAATAAATTAAATTCATATTATCACACGAGTATCATCATGTGAGCATGTAATATTGGTTTGAATTTAGCTGTTCATGTGATGTCTCAGTGATCTGTGCATAATTTCCTGAACTCTTTAAAAAAATTTTTTAATGTATTTCGCAGTACTTTCGTGTCGGTAGACAATTAAAATCGATTTAGTTAATTATAGTTTTAGAAATTAGAAAAAACAATTTTGAAATTGCCAAATCTGCGAAATATGATCATTTTCTTCAAATTTTCAGTTAACATGACTTGGGTAACACCAACGATTTGAGTTGATAGCGCTGACGATTTAAATTAACTTGAGTTTAGACAACAAATCTTGCTTACAAAAATGAAAGTCAACGAGCGTCAGCACGTTCTTTATCGTATTTTATTAAATTAGGACGTTATAATGTTGACTTTGGATGCTTGCACTAAGAATGAACGAATTGACCAATTGCCATAATTCAATGATTTGGTTAGGTTAGGAGCGCCACTGCTGTTTTCATTTACTTTTGTTTGAATATTAACTCGCTGCAGGTTTTGCACAAATATCACTGTAAACTGAGCTTGTTCTGCTCGATTATTCCATCTTGATAAGAGAAATGTTTGAACAGAAAAAATGAATAAAAATTTATTCTCGTATTATATCTCGAAATCATGTTAAAAAATTATTTGTATAATTATTATTGTGTATTTTCTTTGACATGATTTCCCTCGTTATTAACGGTCTAATAAAGTCATATATTAAGTGCTTCGAATGTTCCGTGAACAACAGATATTCATGGTTGAACTATATAGTTCAACCATGACAACTAGTTCAACCGTGACAGATACTAGCCACAGAGAAGGTTAGGTTACTATAAGTATAAAGCAAGCTGAAATGTACCACAATTTCCACAAATGGGCTACTGACTCCGGTACAGCAAACCGTTTTATTTGAGCAGCGCCGTACGGGGCCTGATGACCGTGTCATAACCACCGTATTGTTTGTACAGCGCCGTACGGGGCCTGATGACCGTGTCATAACCACCGTATTGTTTGTACAGTGCCGTACGTGGCCTGATGACCGTGTCGGCGACCGTACCTGAGCGCCTGACTGTCCTGCGCGCCGCTGCCAGCTCCGGCAGCTGCGAGGTGAGTTTAACTTGGTAACATTAAACTCATACTAAGTGATTCTTCTTTCGAATTTCGTGTGTGAATTTCACCAAGTATTAATTTTATAATATTCCTACCAATGCTCTAAAGTATTCATTGGGCTAATATGTCACTAGGTACAGTAAATTTGAATAAAATTTCGCTTGAAGATAATAAACTAGTTTCAGACGAAGCCGGTTTTGGAACCGGGCAATTATGCTACAAGTTCAAATAAATTCCAGTACAATTTAAAATGCTGTCGTGGATTCGTTTTAAAAATGCTGCGGCTCTATTCGACCGTCGTACTCATGGTTGAACTATAAAAGTATTATTTCAAACATGGGCATACTACCCAAGAAACAGACTTAACACATTAGTTTTAGTTACCCCTGTGCATTACAGAAGTCCTTCCCATGCGCACCTCTGCCTGCGCATGACTCTGCCAGCGCTCGCCACGCCAGCCTCGACTACGACGAAGCGTCGCAGCATCAAGAACTTTAACTTGAAAAATAAACTTAAATTAGGCAAACAATCATTGAATTGAAATTAAAAACACCAACAAACTCAAATAATTACTAATTTAATGGGTGATACAGCTACAAATGAATCTGTTATCGTGTTATATTGAAAATTTGATCGCGCTTGATATTTCTTGAATTGTTCAGGAAAATTTTTAATCATATCTATAGCTAAATATCATTTATTAACGGCTTCATTGTCTATTCACGCTGAAATATCAGTGCGATTCAATACTAATTATTCATCAATCTTCTGGACGTTTACCATCGTAAGAATTTGTCTAACGGTCCTTTATTGCGCTGTTTTCATAGGGATTGACAATGTCTAGTTTTACCTCTAAAATATAACAGAACATTTGTGAAGATGACGAAGCGAAATACTCAAACTGCTGACTATATCCGTCCATGTTAATAAATGTTATTTGTTGAACTTTCTCTTTGCTAATGCTCTATAATTAATTAGGAAACTACCTTTTTATGTTTTTTTTGATCATGTTATTCTGATGTTCGTCTTGTTCAGTTTTCATTTATTTTGTTTAGAAATATCTGCAAATCTGCTAAGTCTGGCAGGGATTTACAGAGTAAAACACTGAAAGCATTAAAACACATCTTTATTTATTTGATTTGAAACATTTCTATATTTACTTATAAGTAATAATAACTTTGTTTACAAATTCAAACCTGCGTCTCATGTTGCTTTGCAAATAAAATAAACGGGAGATTGATGTACTGTCATATGATATTGTTAACGGAAGTGCTATAATATTAATGCCTAATATATGTAAAAAAGTATGTTTTTATGCTTCTTTTTATTATTCTTGACAGGAGTATCACATAAGTAAAGTAAAATACTGTTAAGCCTTGATTCATTTCACATCCAAAAATCTGATATGCAATCCAGGCTTTCTTTAGCTTCGGTTAAGATATTCCCTTCATTCGATGAAATGCTATTATTATATATGCCAGAACTGATAATGATTTGAGGTGCAAGTAATAACCAGTCCATGTTGACCATTAATTTGGTACATTTATAATGTTGGGGCGCAATCGTTAGCCACAAATTTAACTTTGAAAGAAGCCCCGGAGCCAACGCACGCGCTCAACATGCAGTAGCTATTTGCAGCTTTGAAACTAAAATGCCATAGACCACGCTTGATATTAATTAACTAACTTCATGGTCAATTTTATTAGGTTAGGTGGAAAGTAAACTTGCAAAACCAAAAAATGGTCAAGTGCCGGCACGGGACTCTTAATTATATGGTTATTAGCACTTAATTTCAAATGCTACTGTGCCTTATTGCATCCTTATCCAGAAAACAATATGTGATGTTATTGTGTACTAGTAGAAAGTTGCGGGCCTTCACTCTGCAAACCTGGCTCTGTTACAGCATACAATAGTAAATTAACGCAAACGTGTTATAATAATAATAGCGGTTTCAGCGTTTAGTAGGCCGTAGTCCTGTTGCCGATGCTTAACATCGCAGAACATACACAGCATTCAGTCTCGAACTCACAACTCATTGTAACAATTCTGCTGTGATTAACCGCCCGGCCTCCTCGCCCATTCTGACCAGAAACTGACGCACAGAGTTGTTGTTGTTGTTGTGGTTCCCCGGTCTCATTTTTATGAGAGATCCCCCTCGCGCAGATACGACACCACCGACAAGGGGTCGCTCCAGAGCTGTAGGGTCGAGGTTATGTGGTGATGTTGTCTGACGTCCTGCCAAAGCGGACATTCCAGGAGAATGTGGCAGGAAGGGCAGGTGTCTGTGTATGCTTGGCCTATTCGGTTTACGTATGTTTGTAGTGAAGGGTGGTGGCCGCAGCGCAGCCTGGCTAGGGGTACTCTCTCCAGGTACTCTCTCCAGTCTAGAGAGCTGTGTTTCTGTGCTGCTTATGCCAGGTGGTGGGTGCCCAAGGACTTTGTTGTTGCCGGCCAGCTGCAGCGTTCCAAGTGTCATAATTCATGATAATTGTGTGTGTGTTTTTTTGTGCTGGTGTTGCCTTGGGGTGGGGGTACTGTATCTAGTATGTTGGTGTAGTATCTGTGTGGGGTTTGCACTATTCGTCTGTGTGTAGGAGGGAGGTCGCGCACAGAGTTGGGATCAAACCCACGCCTCTCTGCGCCATTCATGGTACTCGAACTGTAACCACTGGGCCACCATGCCCAGTGTTACAGTGGTTACAAATTTGTTCTTTAACTGATTTGGATTTAATTCTTGACATATGTCTAGAATAAAGTAAAGATAATAAGTAATGTAATTTGATGCCTAACACTAATCTTATATGGACTTACAATCTACGATGATGGCTGTAGCCTTGATTGAACTATATAGGGCTGTCCCGTCTTGGATTAGCATTGACGTCTCGGACAAAAAATATGACCGCGCGAAGCCACAAACATTAAAATAATAGTCTAAGTTAGTGCTCTCACGTGTATACCAGAGAATTTTACTTATTTCAATAAATCGACAGTATTCGCCTGAAATCGCCTCATATTGAAGATTATTCTAGTAAATATATATCAATACGCTGCTTCAAAAAATCGAGGTTTAGAAGAACGTCCTACAAAGAAATAGTGTTGCCCGGAGAGTATCACATATGCATATACCTGATATACGTATGTTTCAAAATTTATTTAAAGCTTTAACGAATTATGCTGCATAAATTCATAATTTTCCTAGTTGCCTTATCAAGAATCAAGTTTTGATAAAATTATTGAAATTTATCAATGGCAGGAACATTGATATAAATAATAATTTATTTCTAGTCAATTCCTAAATCAGTGTCTTTCCAAAATACCGGAGACAAATGTTCAAAGTTACATGATCAACATGTCAAAAACACACGTCAGTATTCAATTTCTTGGAACGTAATGGTCACGTATGCCTCAACCTCCGGAGCCAAAATCGTTCTGTAAAGTCGTCCAACATCGGTCGTTGTGCAATTGCAAATTTATCCGCTTAGATGCTATTTTATAGTAGCTTATATACTCAGTTCATAGATTTATTTTGTTTACGTGATTGCATTGTGTTTATTCGTTAAGAAATTGTATAGTTAAGAGAGTAAGTTTTTCACTATGGTTATAGAAGGAAATAAAGATGATGCTGAAAAATGCTTCGACCTTGCTCGAAGCTATTTTGAGCAAGGCAACTTAGAAAAAGCTGTTAAATTTGTTCAAAAGGCTATAAAGCTCTATCCGTGTGATAGGTACCAAGGTAAGAATAGTTAATTGTTTTTACATATACATTTTTGTGTAAATCAGGCTCAGCTATTCAGGGTATCATGAAGAAAATGTTAAAATTGTTTGGTTTAATCAAATTGGGTTAGCGTTAGCCTATTGGATTTTGGAATACAGTAGTCAGTAGGTATACCTAACTGTTGCAAATTGCAATCACTTTTTTTAGAATCAATTCCAAACCAAATTTAAGTGACCTATATTATGTTTATTTTGAAAATGTATGTGTGCATAATTTATTGAAGCTCATGTCAAGTCCCTGTTTTAAGCGTTTTGTTATAATATTAATGCAATTTTTTGTTTCAGAATTTGAAGAGGTTATCAAGAGATTTGGTAGCGGCAGTAAATCTTCTAACAAGAATACAAATCAGGTATTAGCCTAATTCCTAATACATTTGCTAGTAATCAATTGGCAATTAATTGATTGAGATTCTCTGATTACAATTATATCATCATGTTATGACTTATGACTATGAGTTAGCTATGTGACCAAAATGATGGTAGTATTCTGAAAATAATGTCTCTAAATATTTTACCTGACCAAGATTCAAGATTAACATTTAACAATGGATCATGAAAAATATCTAAATGCTGAAGATAAATCTTTACAAAAGATCTTCTGCAGTAGTGCAGTTTGCACTATCCTCCTGACTTCCTAAAATGCCTATTACTTTGTAACAAACTGAGTTTGTTCTATATTAGGAATAATTCTATGCACTATTTGGCTATTTTTAATATATATGCAAATAATGCAAGCAAACAGGTATGTAATGATGGAATATAAATTCTTTTTAAGACAGAATGATAAATATAGATGCTTAGAGTTAGAGCTATCCTGCCATTTCTAGAGCTGAAAATTCACTTTTGAAGAGTTAGCCTATCTCCTGTGTAATTGTTACAAAAGTGTACATGAGTAAGGTGTGAAATTTTCAATTCAACAAAAATATGTCAATTTGTAATTTTGTACTGCAAATTTTGAGAATAAAGAGTATGAAATTTCCAATTTGGTCTGTTTAAATGGAATAAAAAATGACAATGAGCCTTTGAAAATTTTGTTTTCGCTTTTTTTTTAGTGTGGAAAATGGTAATTATTGATGACCAAGAAAGTATCTAACTAGAAACTGTAGATTGCTACATATTTGCAACTGCAACGTCTGCAAGACACTTCTGTTCTCAAATCTGTCATGAAATTGTCTATTAACAAGACAGAATGCTGTCTGCTGATGGTGCACTTGCAATGACTTTACTTATTTACTATGTATTAACTATTAAGTAAGGAGATTATTCATCTTGTGGTAGTTTTGCACCTTCAAAAACTAGACAAATCAGAATGTTGACATTTTCTGCATGTTTTTATCCTGCCATCTTAATTGTTTTCAAACTTGTATTTTGAATTAAAGAGAAACCTGTATTTAAGTACATACTGATTATAATTTGACAAAGTGTTAAGTACCTTATTTCCCCTTGATCTATGAATAAAATTAAATTTTGTTCTTTATTAATGGATAGTTTCTGTTAATTTCAAATAACTGTAGTATGTTAAATTTATATTTTCAATACTGATTCTATTTTATAAGGCTTTTGGATTTCACCTTTGAAATGAAATTGAGGGTTCTGTTAATTTTGTAACAAAATTGATATTAAGGCACAGGTTTGATAGAACCTGTAAATTTCTATTGCTGTGTTGCAAACAAACCCAAGCACAAACACGCACACACTAAAAAATCCATAGATATACAGATAAAAGGAATGCAATGCATTGATCACTTGTGCAGAATAATTCCAGTCCTCGGACGAGTGGAGATGAAGGTGTGCGCCACAGACCTCCAGGTTCTTCTGATGAACCTCGAGCTTCAACTGTGGAAAAAGCTTACACATCAGAGCAAGTTGAAGCTGTCAAGCAGTAAGTTATAATTTTATTACACTCATTTGGAAGTAATGCTTTTTTATAGATACAGGTATATATTATTTCTATAAATTTATTGGTATTAATTATTGATTGTTAACAAGAATTTAACTTCTCATAAATTCTTGAATTAGGATAAACCATAAATTATTGTAATTGTGTTGAACACAATTCTACAGCAACAGTTTATTTGTTCAAGCTTCTAAGACTTATCTATACCAACCTGATAATAAAAGTATTTTTAATTAAAAAAGTTTTTCAAGATCTAATGACAGTAATAGGCAAGTAGCTTTTTATGACATGCAGACCTTAAAAGGCATTAAAGAATTTTATGAAAAGTTACTAATGCAATTCCGGTTTTCAGACCATCATCCATGCACACTTCCAATTACGTTTTGCTGTATCCCAATACAAATTTCCAAGAATAAACCTTAAATCTCTTGAAAAATTGTGCTATTTTTATTCATGTGTATGTTGGTAATAGTTAAAAAATATATATATTTGCAACATGGTGTTTGTAAGAATTTCTTTAGGTACTAATACATAACTTGGTTGTGTCTGCCTATGCGTCTGAATAAATTTGGTTCATTCATTTTCTGTTGACATAAATATACTTAAACGCACTGTTATGTGAGGTTTCTGTTGTAAATCTGAAGTAAAGTTGGTACAATATTACCTATCATCACTTGATCGAAGTTGTTACAGTATTACACATGTTTTTTTTAACAGGATCAAGAAATGCAAAGACTACTACGAAATCTTGGGGGTGACCAAAGAGGCCACAGATTCTGATCTGAAAAAAGCTTACCGTAAATTGGCCCTCCAGTTTCATCCTGACAAGAACAAAGCTCCTGGGGCTGCAGAAGCCTTCAAAGGTACTCTATTTTTTTTCACTCTCATTCATTTTCATCTTAAAAATTGAACCAAGTTTAATCTCGTATAATAATGATTGTCTTGAAGTCTTGAACAGGTGTATGTTTACAAATGTCTGCAAAACTAGTGTGTTAAATCCAGACTGCTGATGAGGTAGGTATATTAGTTTGACGTATTAGTACCTAATAGTCCCTGAAACATTATACATCAAATTGTTTTATCTGCTTTCAGAATTGGGTAAGTAAATTTCCGTGTTGATATTAGTGTACAAAATTTTTCTTTCTCCCTGATGTATGAAGAATTCTATGTTCCGCATGTACGGTATTGAGGTGGCAATTGATTTTTTAATAATTTAAGATGATTTTTGTCTTATGATCTGTTTCTTAAAGCAAGAACAGAAATGCAATTTTGAGTTTTTGTAGTCAAGTTACACCAATTAAATGAATACAAGAGAACTAGAATACCACTTGCTATTTATATAGGCAAATATACATAATTTCTATATTTATAAAATTATATGTAGTATAATATTTATTTTATACATATAAAATTTTTGAAACAAGTACAATATACTGGCATTGGAATCAATAAAAATATTTTACTTGTATTACTTTTTACTAACAGGATATAATACAATATTTTCTTGAATGAATATCGTAATAAAATAAATATGTCTCAAGACTTTTTTGTTTAATATTTCTTGCAGCTGTTGGGAATGCATTCGCAGTTCTGAGTGATGTAGAAAAGAGAAAGCAGTACGACCTGTTCGGTCCTGAGGAGGCGGCGCATCAGGCGAGGAGCGGGCGCTCACACTTTGACCATACTCGTGGATATGAAGGTTGGACTCTTGTTCCAAACCTATCTTTTTTTCCAAACGTATCTCTTGTTCTAAAACTATCTCTTGTTCCAAACCTATATCTTTTTCTAAAACTATCTCTTGTTCCAAACCTATCTCTTGTTCCAAACCTATCTCTTGTTCCAAACCCATCTCTTGTTCCAAACCTATCTCTTGTTCCATACCTATCTCTTGTTCCAAACCTATCTCTTATTCCAATCTTATTTCTTGTTCCAAACCTATTTCTTGTTCCAAAGCTAAGTATCTCTTGTTCCAAACCTATTTCTTGTTCCAAACCTATCTCTTGCAAAAAAAGCTTGTGTTAAGTAGTACTAGTTTAGGTCAGAACATCAAAATATTATATATGCATCACCACTCAACTAGTGGAACAAAGTAACAACATATTGTACTCTTTGTTGTTTTTAATCACAATAAAACGTCATATTGCTGCAGCTGACATGAGTGCAGAGGAGCTGTTCAACATATTCTTCGGAGGAGGCTATCCCAGCAGTCGAGTCTACGTTAGACGAGGTGACCGCTGGGAGAGTGCTGGTATGTTTTTTGCTCATTTACTCATATCAGCACTTGACACTTGATTACTGAGAGTTTTTTTAAATTTTAAACTTTGAATTATGGGTGCATTTGTTTTCTCAATATATTTCTCTCTCTTTCATGTCACGAACATCATCACCTGTAACTATTCTGAGGATAGCAATTCTCCTGCAGGTCAGATAGTGCACCGCAAGAAGACTTTCAGTGTTGATCAAAATATTTCTTGTCATTAATCCATTCATATTAGCTCAATGCAGAATTAAATTAGAATAATGTTAGCTCCAAGTTATTGTTGGTGTTTCTCAACTTGATTACCCGTGTTAATTTATATTTATTATTCAGCTGGCGGTCGCACTCGCCAACATCAGCACCATGAGAGTCACACCGAGCAGAGCGGCCTGTCGGTTCTCGTGCAGATAATGCCGCTGCTCCTAATTCTTCTTATGTCGCTCGCATCTTCGCTCTTCTCTGCCGATCCTATTTACAGTCTCAGCCCCAACAGGTAAACTCTAGAGCTCGAGTATTTATGTGCTTGTTGATGCGAGACGTGACTTACTATCCCTTCTGACTGATACTCAATACGCTATCTTCAAGTTAATTTCGTATTCTTGCAAGTATTAGGTCCTAATTTCGGATCTTTATGTTCTAAATAAATCTTTTAATTTGTAATTTGATGTTTCAAGCGCTATTTACTAATTTTAAACGTTTTCAGCAAGTACACGGAGCATCGCGTGACACCAAAGCTGCACGTATCTTACTACGTGAAGCCAGACTTTCTACGCGAGTATCAAGGCAGCGTACGGCGCCTCGAGCATCAGGTGGAGGAGGACTACATCGCTGCACTCCGCAACGGCTGTTACAAGGAGCGCAATCACAGTCAGTTGTTATGATTGGACCCTGTTTTTGTTTATTAATTACTATTATGTTACTTTATAACTGATGTTAGGGATTTGATGCTCGATGGTTTGGTTTAGAGTTTCACATGGATTTTTAACTAGTTGCTGAGCCTCTCATTTAAGATTTATTGACTTTTAAAATTCAGCTTACGAGTCAAAATATTTTCAAATCTATTGATAAAAGGATTGTGTATTTCTTATTTATAATTTACTATTTTATCGATTGTATTTGACCATCACTGCACATTGAACGAAATAATTAATAATATTATTTGGCTGCGAGAAGAAAAGCCATGCATGTTGTTGCAGAGGAGAACATGTTGTGGCGGGCGAGATCGTTCGGTGACGCTGCTATGTACCGCCGCGCTCAGGAGATGGCGACGCCTTCATGCGCCTCTTTACAGGCCGTCTACAACTGAGCCTCTTCACAGGCCTACTGCCTCACTTTAGTGTTAAGTTTAATTTATCACAGATATATGCTAGTGGTAGTGTTTCATTCTTTCTGCTCATTCATTTCATCAAATTCCTGCAGGTCTGATTACATAATATATCTTAACTTTATACTCTGTTGTATTGACTGCTGAGAAATAATTTTCTTTGCCAATGGTTACAGAGATACTTACTAAGAAGGATTTCTCCTAATCATTGAAAATTCTTGTTTGACACTTATTTTTTTTTCAAATGGAGCTTTGGGTAATGAGCTCTGTTGCAACTGATGACAAAATATGCTTATTCATCTTCATTTTTTCTCTGTATCACTGCGCCTAGCGCTTTATCTTGGCGCCCTTCATCTTCAATGTCGTATTTGCAGTTATCTTCCTGTATGTAACACGCATCTTAAATTATATTGCTAGTATGTTATTTTAATGTGCGTATTGCAAAAAATTATATGTCATAAAAAAAGGGTTTCCAACTCTGGGTCTCGAATTCGTCTTCTGTTCTGTATCGCTCTTATAATATTTTCATCTCTTATCCCTTCCTTTTTCTTCGGTCTCGGATCGTATATAATAGGCTTAAGGATTGACATCCATGTTCTTGCGGTCTATTAATCGCGTTTGTGGTCCCTCTGGGTTGCAATGTTCATTCACTCTATTTTACCGTATTTATTTTGTCCAAGTTTAGCCTCTTTCCTTCTGTACTACATTGATTCTTGATGAATGGTCTGCTCTTAGAATAAGTGATTGGTGAATTTCTTTCAAACAGAGAATTGACGACGGACTGTTTTTTTTTCTTGGAATTATTTCACAACTCGTGTGTTTCTTGCCTTCAAAAACACTTTGATTTTGTGTCAGTGGCATCATTTGGCAATCATCGGCAATTAGAAAATGGCAATCGTCATTTTCTAACAATTTTAAGTTTTTATTTCTAAAAATCATTCGGTATTCACTTGGAAAATTTAACCGAGGAATAAAAATTAGTAAAATGAAAGGCATAATGTTGAAGCCATTAATTTAAAAGGCGTTATGAATAACGTCGAATTAGTAGGGAATTGAGTGCAACTTATGTATCTATATGGTTTGGCATTAGGGAAAGTTGGGAAAACTCGTCTTCTCGTGTATGTCACAGATACATTGTCGGTCTACAAGTGAATAATTTTGTGTTAAGTCTCCGTAGATTTTATTTATTTTACAATTACTGTTGAAGATTATTTTGTCCATATAATTTTATCCATAACGTCTGAGCGTGCTTAGTTCGTCATAAATATTTGACCTGTTAATGATTATCGTTGTCATTGACAATAAAGGCATTCTGTGTCATATGTTGGCTGCTAAATTCTGCAAAGCAACCAATATTAATCCCGCAAAAATATATCTGACTAGGGAAAGAACGACTTCACGAAAAAATAATTTACAGATTTTTACGGTGCTGTATTTTGTGTTTGAATGCTTCAAGTTCACAAGGTTGTTGTTAATGAACGACCAGTCTCCTGTCATGATTTTGTTCATATGTAGTACCTTGAGGACTTGAAGAATTAGTGTTCTTGAGAAACCAAATTCTCTTTGCAGTTCCTCGATGTGCAGTTCGTCCACGCGATGTTTAGTTCCGAGTTGACAAAAAAAGAGATGACCGGATCGCAATGGTACATCATTTGTTTGCATCAAGCAAAGAATGCCATCATAAAAGCGATTTTCAGTATATCATCTAAAGAATGTTTACAAGATATTTATTTATCTCTCTACAGCTTCGGATCAGGTAGCTCACGGTTCCCACTTGTACGGGTAGTCTTGACTCGAACCTTCCGACGCCATCGCTGTTAAACTTCATGTATTATTACTGCTGAGAGGCTTGTGTTGGGCTAGAACTGCACTGTATTCTTCACTTCTGTGTATTATAGTCATATAGAGAAATGTACATACTTAATATATCTCGTAGATGTTATTCACTTGGTTTGCTCAAAGTTTGTCTCAGAGCGTCGCATTATCTAACATTCTCTACTCTGCTGGAGGCGCGCTTGCTTAATAGAGAATTTCTTTCGTGGTATTCACATTCTCTGTAAAAATTTTAATATTCGCCATGAAAAGTTGAAAACTATTTTCGTATTGACATTGTTAAATTTATAGCACATAAACTACGACTAATTTGTACGAGTATCTACTGCAGTTTGAAGGATTTTGTTCAAATCTGTTGCTGGATAAGAGTATTCATTCAGATTAGAACGCAGAGTATGAGTGGAAATTTATTTGCTTTTCTTTTGAAGGAACAGTGTGGAAAGATATCGGTGAATTTCAGTGATGAGGTTACTTGATTCAAAGTCTCCAGAAGAGGATAATAAAGCTTAATTTCTTTACATCACGAAAAATTCGTTCTACTGTTTGTGTTGTACTCATAAAACTGGAAATACGGGCTCATCTTTTTCCATTTGAATAGTTCATATTACCTCCCTGTGGATTCATAGTCTCCATTTTGCCTGTATCATACAATGCGGCTGATGTACAATTGAATGATAGACGTTAATGGCATGGCTTGAACATGGCAAAGGTAATGAGGTGCTAGGCAGGTTACGACAGTTTGGAATTCTTGTCTCTCCTGGCGACAACTCGTGTATATTCTGTGACATATTTCGTTGTATGACCGAGATTTCGTAGGTAAAAAAAATATATATACTTACACATTACGAATTACCTCAATTACGACGAGCGCGTTTCCACACTCGGGTATAAACGTGCTGCTGGAGTCGTTAAAAAGACGTCGTTTGGTAGGAAGGCAAATTTTGGGTGACGAAAAAAACTTATACTAGAGCATAGTATGGACTATGGAGTGCACTGGAGAATTGTCCAATCGTATGTATATATAATGTAATGACCTCGGTAATCCTTTCGGTAAATGTTTTAATGCATCGTGTTTTTTTTTTGTTAATCCTATTCAACCATTTGCAACGCAGAAACGACATATTATGGACCATAGTGAGTACGTTTGCGCCGTTATTTATCTCCATCGTTGTTACTCGAGACCGTCGTCGTCTACAGGGACTTGAAACTTCTGCTAAACTCTCGTCTTTGCGTGAGTTAGAGAACACTATTGCTATTTAAATTAAGTCGTTAAGACTAAATTCTTGATGGCTGTTGATTAGGCGATAAAAAAAATTTCAAATTAATTTTCTGCGATTGTTTAATCTCTTATTGCAAGTCTATTCACAACGATAATGAATTGTTACTTCAAAATCCTGGAGGACGCCAGTCACTTTCCTGCTCGAGCTGATGGACGGTGTAGCAAATAATTCTGTCGCCCTTAAGGAACTGGATGCTGCGGTCCTCGAATTTCAAGCCACATTCTATGTCCGTGGCGATGGTCTTGACTTCAGACTTGACGTGGCGCATGGATGACAGAGGACCTGTACGAGGAATAAGGTGGTACATTAGTAGGTCAGGAGCTATTAATTTATACGAGGAACAAGGTGGTACATTAGTAGGTCAGGAGCTATTAATTTTTGCACGTCATGCAAAAAATTAAAAACAATGAAGCAATAGAACGGTAATGCGAATGGTAATTCGTAAAACCATTTGATATAGGGCAACCTTGATTCAATTCGATTTGTATTTTGTTGAACTTGGAAAAGTTATATGTAACTTTGAAGTAGACTTCATTACCAATATTTGGATTAGAGGTTACGTAGAACATCATCGTATCAAATATTGATAATTAAAACGATTGAAAAGAGAAACAATATTAGTTATTCCCATTATTCTGAAATGAATGAATTAAAACAGATCCTAGATTTGTGGGGCACTCGACTTCTGCCTTGGAAAGTAATGATTTGCTGTAAAATAAGATACGTGTACAGTTCAGTTCCACTACTGAACAGGTTTATGGTTCAGTGAATATTCAACAAGGAAATACCTATTGCATTTCCTCTTAACATAATAAGAAACTAAGCGAACCTTCATGAATGAGTTGGCCGTCGCGGAAGAGCCTGAATTTCTCATCTTTCTTGAGCGATCCCTTGACGCAGCGGCAGCCCGCGACCGGCGTCTTCTTGCGGCCTCCGTCGCTCGCCATGAACTGCTCCAGCACCTCAGCCTCTCCTGAGCGTCAGGAGGAATTCGAGACGCTATGACAGTTGCGTGTGCTGCAGTCAATGAGACGCTACTATGACAATTGCGTGTGCTACAGTCAATGAGACGCTACTATGACAATTGCGTGTGCTACAGTCAATGCCACTAACTTTCCTACCGTACTCATGTCGCTGGCCTTCAATAGAAACGATCTATTTTCTAGGCAAAACCGAGCCATCACTTTCTAGAGCGATCGAAAAAGCATCTCGGTTGATATGTGGTAATCGAACCCTACAATTCACACTTCTTGCCAGTATTATACGGATTTTATTGACCGGCGGCGAGTTAAGTGCAGTAGCTGCTGAGTGGCATCCAATTAATGATAATGATAAATACTGAAAATATTCGCAGATAGTAATTATTGGCAAGGTAAATTGTCCTCGCACAAATAAATGAGCATCTGATACTGAATAATGGCAGTGTAATAATGGTAATATTAACAGAAAAAAACTTTCTCGCCTGAGAAATTCACTTTCACGTAAAGGTAATGAAAGATCGTCGCTAATTCATGTGTCCCATGTCTTACCAATTAAAAATTAGATGAAGTTTCGTTTCAAATCATTTTGTTTCGAAAACAACAAATGCTTCGAAGTTAGACACCTAGCCACGTTTCAAACAACGAGAAGTAAGAAACCACTAGGAGTGAATGCATGGGAAACCAGAAATGTAAATAGGGAACATCATCAATACGCAGGTAAATATACAGAAGCGAAAGTCTTCTGTTCTGTATACAGAAGCGAAAATCACTCCTATTCGCCGCCAGCTCACCGCTCTCTTTTTCTTCGCTGAGCACAAATAAAGGACGAATAACATTATATTTCAAACGATTTCCTTTATCCTCTAAGTGACTCGGACTTATGACCGCAGACGAACCAAACGTAATCCGACCATATATCAGGACTTTAGGAGACCACGTAACATCACAGATCCAAGATATGTGCATGTGTAACATTTGTCAAATTCGATTAATCTCCTATGATGCGAACCCCAATGAATCTTCGAGTGAAACTTCCCCCAACACAAAACGAACCTGACAATGAAAGGAAGACCAGGCGAATCATAGGTTTGTGGAACATACAGGCTCGGCACTTATTTACACAGGAGGCTAACAATCAGGCGCGGCAGCTGAAACAAGGCATAAACTCGTAATCTACACAGGGTAAGTTGTCGATATCCTCTTAGCTCTGGCCTTGCGGGAGAACACGTCGCTGTATTCTTCAACTCAATTAGTTAAGTCCACTAAATTTATCAACTCAAAACGTCAAGTCAGGGAACAAAGAACGCATAACATCCTCACGGTAATCCCGGCCATACTGTCGCGTTTAGCGTTGAAGGAGAGATCAGGAGTGGAACATAACTGTTGGGTGTGGGAGGGATTAGTTAGAAGAGAGGAGTCGAAGTTCCAAGACAGCGAGCTGCAAACGTTGAACGAATACAACGCAGAACAGAAGTTGCAAGCGAGATTTGAACGATTTTGTTACCGTATATAATTAGTTTGAAGATTTGTGGTGACAGAAGCACCTCCTAGGCTGATCACAGCTTCAAGCGATGCAGCAGAAAAGCTGAACGTGACATGGTGGTTTAAATGTCTGCTCAGGGGAGAGATAAGCGGCTTTTGAACACATGCCCTAATGAGGCCAAAGTTGACCACTTAAGAAACCCGATGATGACTCAATGTAATCGAAGATTGTCCATTGTACGCGAAATAAATCTCCGTGTTTCCTGCAGCGCCAGAAAATCTATTACTACAAATATCACTATCTAATCTAATACTAATAATTAACTAATAATAATACTTATATCACTAAATTATTCCACCACAAAGAAAATAAATGCGGAGAAATATGGAACCACTTCTATTCCTAAAATGTAGAGCTAGCGGGCAAAACTATACACATGGAGCCCAAGTAGGATGCCTCACCCAGGACTTCCTCCTGAGGCAGCGTGGGCATTTTCTTGGAGATGAGCGACCTGAGATGCTCGACGAGCCTGTAGATGATGTTCGTGTGTACGATGGATGCGGAGGAGCGTTCAATGGCTTCTTCCACCGCCCGGTCGTTGCTCACGTTGAATGAGAAGATTGTTGCTGAAAAAGTCATATGAGGTATGAATTATATTAAAATAGAATAGAAGATTGTTACCAAAAAACGGTCATTTGAGGTATGAATTATATTCAAATAGATTAGAAGACTGTTGCTAAAAAACGTTCATATGAGGCATGAATTACATGAAAATATATCAGACGACTGTTGCTAAAAAACGGTCATATGAGGCACGAGTTATATGAAAATAGATTAGAAGATTGTCGCTAAAAATGTTTATGGCAGACAAGAATTACATGAAATAACTTGCACATGAAATAACTTACTGGAGAAACGTTCACACCGGACAAGAATTATGTGAAGTCAGAGTTTCACGTCTAGTTTTACATAAATAAAACATACCTACAATAAGACATGTTTATGTTAACATGACCTTGAAAACGTTCAAGTGTTTCTTCAAAATGGAGTTTGTTCCATGGAAATCAGGGTTTTATTCACAAATTCAATTAAGTAAGCTTTCAATTAAGCTGTTAATTTTTAGATGGCTTAAATTTCATAGCTAAGCCATAATTTAAAACGGGTCGCACCATCGAAAATTATTAAAAGTTAGTACTCAGTCATCCGATTAATCACTCAAGCTAAAGATGTTATTGGAACTTGCTGCCATGTTGTCGGTTATGCTACGTGAATAATGTGATCTTACATTCACTTTCAAAACAGAAATGGCAAACATTTCATTCACAGAGTAATAATTAATGGGCAAATGGCCCGCAATATCTTGAGTAGGTAAAGTGAGGTATAAACTTCATAGACTTAAATCAAACTACTCACTTGCTGGTCTCATGATATTTACTTTTTTTTAGAAGCAATTCGCTCACGTAAATCCAACTAATGGGCAGTTGGTCCGCAATATTATAAGTGGAGTGAGGAAGGCTGACCTGCATGATGGCTTCCAGTGATCCCTGGACGTCGCATTTGAGCAGAATGGCCACACGCGGGCCGGTCTCGCTGGTGTCATACTCCTTGGGACGCAAGCCAGTCCGAAGTCGGTAGCTGAAACTGTAATTAAAAGAAACTTCATCAAGCAATCGCTTACGGGTGTCTTTGGTGCGTAGGGTGCTTGGTAGTTACAGTTCAGAGCACCAGGCTTCGATAGCGAGTTGCTGTTTCGATCCCAGCTCCCTGTGACATTTCTGGTCAAAATCGGCGAGCAGGCCAGACGGTTAATTGAAGCCAAATTAGAGCAGTGAGTTGCATGTTCAAGACCCGCAACAAGCTGTGAAAATTCTACAATCTTCAGAATTGGTGAAAGGCCTGACGGCTAATTAATAATACAGGTATTACTAGCTGGAGACATGACCACATGATTTGACCATTACACGTAATTAAAAGAAGGGGAAAAACTACAGAGGTTATATGGAATTGATGCCCGGATCAAAAAATATGGAAACACATCACTGAGTTAAATTTAATTGCAATATGGTAATTATTTTAATCAAAAAAACATTTGCTATAGTTGGGCCAATATTATAACATAAAGCTTCATATCAATGCAAAGAATTACCAATTTCAACTTAAAATAATATACGTTTAAAAATTACTTTTTAGAGACAACACTTCCAAAGAATGCAGTGTCTCCAATCTTAAAGATGTACAATGAATTTCTCATTTAATTTTCGAATTAAAAAAATTAAATTTTCAATTTTTTTAATATATAAAATTTTGTTCAATATATAATTTTCTTTCAAAATTATATAGTCTGTTAATGGATTCATGCATTGCCTCTGACTTCACACAAGTATGCAAAATTTCAGATCAATTAGACAGGAAAAAGTGTGTCAAATATCAGTTATAAGATTTGTAGCTGACGAAATTATTTTTCATTTTTTTAATATTGAGAATTTTTTTCTAAATCATTTATTTTGACATTTGATTCACGCATTGCCTCCAAATTTACACAAGTGTGAAAATTTTTGGATCGATAGTATAAGTAGAAGTGTATTAAATTTCGATTACAAGATTTGTAGCAGACAAACAAGAAGTGAAGTTAAAGAGAAGTGTTGTAATGAGAGAACAATAAAAGCTTTTTCTTTAAATTATTTCAAGTAATCTTGGGAGCACATTCTTCGAACGTTAGATGAAAATGAACTATTTTCCTTCATATGTTAACTCCTTGACAAATGAAACTCTTGTACTACACAATAAAATAGTAAAAAATTTAACTTAATTTGATGTAAACTTTCTGGAGTCACGCTCCCCCAGCACTTCTATGAAGTAAGTTGCTTAGGCCGGGCAAAACTCTTTTATCCACATGAGAGCCTACACAATATGTTTTCTATAAAGACCAAAAAGAAAATATAAAGGGATCATACATAATACTATCTATTATTAGTCTGAAGAAACCATAAACTTCGATTATTACAATTCAGCAACACCGTAAATGAACACAAATAACTAGAACAAGAAAAAAAAAAACGAAATTCTCAAAATATCTTCCGGTCACCGGCACTGCACAGAACACCACCCACCACGAACGCCGACGACACACTGACTACCAGGCCAAGTAATTTACTCGCGTGATAGCATCTTTATTAGAGCTCAATCCCAATCTTGCTGGGGTTAGTTAGAGTACAACTGAAGTATAATGTTAGCGAACTCGGGCTATCACGTAGCATAATAATGTAAAGGCAACGTTTTGGAGCTAAAATATTACCCCTGCAGCGGAGTAAATCTGCGCGATGTAGATTTCTACTTTTGTTCACCAAATGCATCACTTGGGCCTCTGAACTTTAATCGTCATCAAAAACGTATCATTATAAATGTCCAGTTCAGCTATGCGCAGTCACAAAATACTCTTTATTAGAGAATTGTTCCAACCGTTTTTTCTGAACTTCTCCGTTACAAAAATTTAGGCGGATTTTCTCACGAACGTTCACAAGTCACATAAAAAGTGATTGATCTTAAGCTCACGAAATATCAATCGATGAACGAATTAATCAACAGCAATAACGGAATTCGCTTTAAAGTAATTAAATGCAGAGTAAGGCGGGTCAAAGAAGAAGAAGCAATATTTCTACAGGATAAGTAAAATTAATAGCAAGGCGACAGTAAGGATGAACAATTTGATCGTTATTGAGCGCTAATTATTAACTGTACGAAAAGTATGACGGGAAATCGATTCAAGACAATTTATATACGCAACTGGTAAACCTATCGTGAATTATAGTGACCTCTATGAACAGAATGAATTTCCACAAGGAAGTCATACATATAACTTGCTCTAACAGATAAATATAAATGCCGTTGATACTCTTCCTATTCGACTTTGTCTTCAGCCGAGTATTTAAAATCATAGCAGATATACTGTAAATTAAATAGCATCGATGAAATTATAGCATAAACATGGACAGCTTTTATTTCCCATAAGAATCGGATGATGTATGACTAGTATGAGGAGCAGCTGAGCACACGCAAGAAATACAAGTGAAGTTTCTCGTGAATATTAATATATCGACCAGAATTTCTTGACCGGCGCTTGAATTTAGAAACAAAAACTATTTCCCCAGGAATAAAGGAATGACAAGTATGAAGAAAATAAACCCATCTTACAACAAATGGAATTTTCAAGTGAAACCGATGTTATCTCAATATTCATCCAAAGAGAACATGTTGCTTTTAAAAATCGTACTCAAACCATCGCCATATTGTTGGGCCCAAAAATATTTTCGATCGAATTTAATTTGGCGCAGGAACAGAGAATTTCGTTTTGAACAAAGAAATTCTTTCACATTTATAGGAGTGGCCGAAAAGCTCTTTGTTCATGAAGCCATAAACCGATGCGATCTCAGAAGTTCATAAAATAAATTAGGCACAGTTCTAAATTCCCTGCAGGATTAATATGGTATTTCCATGGAATACATTTTTAAAATGTATCAAAAGATTTATTTTATTATTTCATACATATTACTTGATGGACATAGAATATTTTTCATAATGAAATAAAATACTTAAAAAAAAACTTAAAAAAACACGTTTTTCTTGTGAACTAAAAAGTAAAAAATAAATTATGGCTCGCCTCAAAAAAACGTGGGTCGGGCTGTACGTTCACCATCAAATTTCCAAAATTCGTGTGTTGTGTGCTTTTCGCTTTAACACGTTTTTCTTGTGGACTAAAAAGTAGAAAATAAATTGTGGCTCCCCCCCAAAAACGTGGGTCGGGCTGTACGTTCACCATCAAATTTCCAAAATTCGTGTGTTGTGTGCTTTTCGCTTTAATCGTAAATCTGCCCGACACACGTTTTTTGAGGGCGAGCCATAATTTATTTTTTACTTTTTAGTTCACAAGAAAAACGTGTTTTTTTAAGTTTTTTTTTAAGTATTTTATTTTCTACTTTTTGGTCCACAAGAAAAACGATTAAGACTTGACGTACGTATCGATGATACGCAGCGTCAGCGCCTGCTCGTCTATAACGTCAGCGCCCGCACGTCATACTATATATATATAATATATATATATACTTTACTCAATTAAGCTAATTTAGGTCTCTAATTGCTAGTTTTTATGATTGTATTTGAAATTGTTAAGCGAAAATGGCCTGCATGCCGAATTTCAGATCTCTAGAGCAATCAGAAGTGGGCTAATTTTCGTTCTCAATGTTAACAACAAACAAACAAACAAACGCGAAGCTAAGTTAAGAAAAACGTGTTAAAAAATGTCCTCAGTCGAAGAACGAAATTTGATAGCCACGTTTTTTGTAATCGTTTCTTCGAAGTGACCTGAAATTTCCGGACGCTCATTGGTTCCCGCGTTGTGAAATGTGAGACCGCGGACCTCGGAGTTCAGCCGCACGTGTTCCAGACTTGCTCAGTGTTGTGTGAGCTGTAGCAACGGACGGTAGAGCAAATGTGCTGCTGTAGCAGAAACATGTGGACTGCACGAGATCACCTACAGGTGAGGTGAGGCAGGAACTACTATTTTGTGCTTTCATTTATTCAGTGTTTTAAAATAGAAAAGACATTTTTCGTTACAATTTTTGAGTGAAGATAATGTGCATTAGAATAAATCGAGCAAAATGATTCTCTTGTGATAATTTCTGTGGCAAGTTTCCTCATTCATTCAATTATTCATGCATTAAAGAATTTGTTAAAAAGTTTAAAACAAGTGAAAATGTTATCGCGCACTACATTATTTTCATCAGGAGCGCGATTATTATAGGGACGTTTCTTCAAGAAGTAATTTGAAATACAGAAATTAAATTTATTTTCTTCAATTTAAACTCACCCTTAACAACCAAATTTTGATTTGTGATTTGAAAATTACAAATTTGATTAAAAATTTCCCGAAAATCCTTAACATTTTTTAACAAAAAAATTTTTAAACCAGGAAGTTCATAAAATTTTGATCGCGTAAACATCCTCGACTCGCTTTTTTCACATTTTAGATGATCTTTACTAATTTTAAGCGATCATCTCTAGTCGCATGCTTCTGTTGTGAAACGCACACGTTTGAGCACGTGTTCGGGCACCCACAGGATGTAACGGTGTAGAGAAATACTTTTCGATTGGTTCTTCTAGGAACATCTAGTGATGGGACACCTTAGAAACCTCTAGAGATTGATCACTCATGAACATGTAAAAGCGGATTAGTAAATCGCCATATAAAAATGAAGCATTATAGAAACATTTAGGGATGGGCCACTCTAAAAACATCTGGAAGAGAGATTTTTTGTATTTTTTTTTTGTCTGTAAAAAAATCTAGAGCTGTTTTACTATAGATAATCTGCTTCGTGATGATTATGGCATGAATATAAATTGGTTATTAGCATATTTTCAATCTATCTTGTTATCATGATGATATCCATAAATTTTTTTATGCTATTCTGAAAAATGAATAGTACCTTTTTTTATTACAATACTTCTCTTCAACTTTATTTCTTGTTTTTTACAACACTTCTCTTTAACTTCACTTCTTGTCTGTTTGTTTGTCTGTCTGCTACAAATCTTATTATCAAAATTTAACATACTTCTACTTATCCTATCGATCTGAAATTTTGCACACTTGTGTAAAGTTATAGACAATGCATGAATCAATTGATAAAATAAATTATTTTAAAAATTAAATTTTTTTTTCAATATTAAAAAAATGGAAAAATAATTTTGACAGCTACAAATCTTATAACTGATATTTGACACACTTTTACCTGTCTAATTGATCTGAAATTTTGCACACTTGTGTGAAGTCAGAGGCAATGCATGAATCAATTAACAGAATAAATAATATTGAAAAAAGTTATATATTAAAAAAAATTTTATATATTAAAAAAACTGAAAAATTAATTTTTTTAGTATTCGAAAATTAGCTGAGTAATTCATTGTACATCTGTAAGATTGGAGACACTGGATTCTTTGGAAGTGTGGTCTTTAAGAAGTAATTTTTAAACGTATGTTATTTATTACAACACTTCTCTTTAACTTCACTTCTTGTTTGTCTGTCTGTCTGCTACAAATCTTATAATCGATATTTAACACACTTTTACCTGTCCAATCGATCTGAAATTTTGCACGCCTGCATAAAGTCAGAGACAATGCATGAATCAGTTGACAGAATGAATAATTTTGAAAATTTACAAAAAATTTGTATCTTAACAAAATTTGAAAATTATTTTTTCAACACTTGAAAATAAAATTAGAAATTCATTGTACATGTGTAAGATCAAAGACACTGGATTCTTTGAAAGTTTTGTCCTTAAAAAGTAATTTTTAAACGCAAATTATTATCATAATAACGCGGGTTTAACTTTGTTATAATAATATTCAATTATTTTGTCACCATGATCATACTTATCTTTCTTGTTATCACTATGATATGATAATGTCTAGTTATCACCATGCTATGAACATGATGTTTACCGTCACGTTAATTTTCTCTCCCGTATCGTGACGACATATTCATACGTGTTGTTTACGCGAAACTTCAGTTTGTTTTTGGTCGCCTCCAGAGGCGGACGTGCGGGCTGAGCTCTGAACGCCTCAGAACTTGCCGCTGATTTCGGATAACCTAAGCTTGGGGTTAAGTGCACGTGGGGCCCGTATGAGGGTAGAGGCAAAATAATATACGTTTAAAAATTACTTTTTAAAGACAACACTTCTAAAAAATCCAGTGTCTTCAATGACACGCGTGTACAATGAATTTCTAATCTTATTTTCGAATATTAAAAAAATTAATTTCTCAATATTTTTAATACATAAAAAAATTAAATTTTGAAAACCATTTACTCTGTCAATTGAATCATGCATTGTTTCTGACTTTACGCAAGCGTTCAAAATTTCAGATAGATTGGACAGGTAGAAGTGTGTTAAATATCGATTATAAAATTTGTAGCAGACAAAACTATTTTTTCAATTTTGTTAATATAGATTTTTTTTAATTAGCTATTTTCTCAATTGATACATGCATTGTCTCCAAATTTACGCAAGTTTGTAAAATTTCAGATCGATAGGAGAGGTAGAAGTGTGTTAAATATCGATTATAAATTTGTATCTTAACAAAATTTGAAAATTATTTTTTCAACACTTGAAAATAAAATTAGAAATTCATTGTACATGTGTAAGATCAAAGACACTGGATTCGTTGAAAGTTTTGTCCTTAAAAAGTAATTTTTAAACGCAAATTATCATCATAATAACGCGGGTTTAACTTTGTTATAATAATATTCAATTATTTTGTCACCATGATTATACTTATCTTTCTTGTTATCACTATGATATGATAATGTCTAGTTATCACCATGCTATGAACATGATGTTTACCGTCACGTTAATTTTCTCTCCCGTATCGTGACGACATATTCATACGTGTTGTTTACGCGAAACTTCAGTTTGTTTTTGGTCGCCTCCAGAGGCGGACGTGCGGGCTGAGCTCTGAACGCCTCAGAACTTGCCGCTGATTTCGGATAACCTAAGCTTGGGGTTAAGTGCAAGTGGGGCCCGTATGAGGGTAGAGGCAAAATAATATACATTTAAAAATTACTTTTTAAAGACAACACTTCTAAAAAATCCAGTGTCTTCAATGACAAGCATGTACAATGAATTTCTAATCTTATTTTCGAATATTAAAAAAATTAATTTCTCAATATTTTTAATACATAAAAAAATTAAATTTTGAAAACCATTTACTCTGTCAATTGAATCATGCATTGTTTCTGACTTTACGCAAGCGTTCAAAATTTCAGATAGATTGGACAAGTAGAAGTGTGTTAAATATCGATTATAAAATTTGTAGCAGACAAAACTATTTTTTCAATTATTTTTAATATAGATTTTTTTTAATTATCTATTTTCTCAATTGATACATGCATTGTCTCCAAATTTACGCAAGTTTGTAAAATTTCAGATCGATAGGAGAGGTAGAAGTGTGTTAAATATCGATTATAAGATTTGTAGCAGACAAACAAACAAACAACAAGAAGTGATGTTAAAGAGAAATGTTGTAAGAAGCGTGGAGGCAATGAAGGCGTGGAGGCGAAAAAAGCCTATAGGCAGACCTCTTTGTCTTGAAGTGATCGAGGACACATCCGGTGAACACATAGCGGCAATAGTGGCAAGCAAAAGACAACAGCTGGGGCAGATCTGACCTAAATTTCGAACAAGAGAAGAAATGCTGACGACCACACTTTTCAGAGAACGTTGGTTGCATTCTGCGTAATTCCGGGGCCTCTATGGCACAGCGATGCCTGGGTGGCGGCGGCCGACGACGGCGGCGCATCAGCATGGCTGTGTATGTGAATAATTATTTTCAATTTTGCAGTGTAAACTGGCGTGCATTCAGCAGGTCGAAGCATTAATATCTGCAATAATTTGGTTCCGGCGCCCAGATGTCAATTCCCTCCCAAATTTGGGTTTAGGTTTCACAGCGATTTCTTTTGAAGTAGTACAATTAATTCCTTTTTGTTCTGGAATATTGTTCAATATGAAAATTAATGCACATTTTTTTCGTATGACTGAATTTCTGTTTTAGAAAATTGAGACTGCTGATGCTGTAAATTAATTATACTTATTATCCACAGATTCGCAGGCAAGTCAGGACATGTGCGCGGTGGGTCGAAATATGCAGCGCCCCAAGCAGAGACAAAAACCAAAACGAGAAGACCAACAAAAGGCTGGAAGAAGATGCATGGAATAAAATACAGATTACATCCCTCGCTCAAACCTCTCACGGAAGTTACATACGAACAATGTTATTCAATTTCAAGAACGATGCACTTGCATGATTTTGAGAGATGCGTGAAAGAAGATTGTTTCTACGCAGCTCCAGTGACACCCATCTACAAAACCACCATCGTTGAAGGGAGTTACGCATGGGCTCGAGCAGTGACAATAACAAAAGCAAGTGCAGATTGTCATGACTGGTTCGGTAACTTCCGTTGTGACCTCAACCTGGATGACCTCATGGAATTCAACTTTTTCTACGTGGAAGATATAGAATTTGCTAAATCGACCGCGACTCGCATACTCGTCACAAAGCGAAAAAGAATAAATGGTCTGCAAAAAATTAGCATCGACAAAGAAAAGTTTGGGTTTCCTGTGATCTTTTCGGAGGGAACTTATCACATTGCTGTGTCTCACGTGATGAGTGGTATTGCTTATGCTCACAGCGTTCACTTCCTATTGAGTGATGATTTACCACTCAGTGAATTATTCAGAAAAAGTAGAAAGATTCCGGTGAACCACAGCAACGCTAACACGCTGCTCGACAACGGACACTACGTGCAGCACCAATGCCTGATATACAACGGTGGCCTCAAGTGCGACTGCCCTGCACCGTTTACACCGGAGCAGACTGAGCAAGCCTTAGCAATAAACAAGAAAGAATGTGGCTTTTCAACACCAAAATCTCTTAACTTAAGTTTTGACAGCACATGTTCTAGTGAATGCTATAGATAAACTTGTACAATTCACTATGGAATATAGTCATGTGTAGTGTCATTTTATAGAAATTTATATATACCTTCCGAACCGAGAATGAGTACTCTCTCACTTTGAAATGAGTCACTCAGTTTCAGGCGAGCACAATAGCAAATAAATCTAATTATAGAACTCGGCAGTCAGCGGGCTGCTGAGCGCAACTTGTGCACAACCGCTCGCGGCGGGAGCCGTACTGGCACTGGCTACCGCAGGCGGCGGCAGGCCTTTGGCAACCGCGCAAGCTGCCAGCTGCGCGCTTCCTTGCATCATAGAAACAGGCCTATCTGCCTCATCAAAAAACAGATGAGTCACACAAAATCTACGAATTCGAATAAAATTTATCGACGACAATAAGGCTATCTTGTGGCACGAGCTTTTGCTGTGAACTTGTTGCCTTAATTTACAGAGCTTTACAAATAGAATATTGCGACAAACAATTGACTTTCATTTAATACATGCCCAATTTATCCTCCCCCATTATTCATAAAATTGAACTATAGAAAACGCTAAAAATCGTTTTAAACTTAACACTTTTAATGATTTTTCGGCGTATATGCGTACACATAAAATTTCACAGAACAGTGACTTAAGAGGACATCAGCCATTTTAAGATATATAGAAGAAGAAATGAAATGAGTATCAATTATACGCGTACTCACCGTATACCTCGACTTCTCTTTTCTGCAAGCTGCTGCTTGTATTTTTCTTGATGCTCTTGAGCTTTCGCCTCCACGATAACCTGTGGGTAATAACCATCTTTAATTTAAGTTTCACAAGACATACGTACAAAATGAACGAATGAAAAAATGAATGGTCAATTAAATAACGATGAAAAGAGCATTATGAAAGAATATTAGAAAACCTGTGGGTAATAACTATCTTTAATTTAATTTTCACAAGATATGCGTACAAAATGAACGAATGAATGGTCAATTAAATAACAATGAAAAGAGCATTATGAAAGAATAGTAGAAATATAAAGAGATGCTGACTAGGGTTGCCAACATTCATTATTCAATTCGTCGGTCAAGTGGTACGGGATTCAGTTTTAGGGCAGACCGCGTAGGGAGAGGTTGTGTTCACGCTGGCGGTCCGCAGCCTGTCACTGAGTATCCCGCTGACTACGAAGCGCGTTGTACACAAGTAAATCAAACGGAAACTAATTCATAAATTGAGTTATGCATTCGAGTAACGAAGAAGAGTGCGTATATGAAGGCGTTTACCACCTTGTCCTGCAGCGCCCACCTTGTCCTGCAGCGCCCACCTTGTCCTGCAGCGCCCACCTTGTCCTGCAGCAGCCTGCGCTCGCTGAGCTCCTTGAGACGCCACGCGAGGACCTCCTTCTGCCGCGCCCGCGTCCGCACCTCCAGCACCTCGTCGCCCGCGCTCGGCAGCTCGCTCCAGCCCGCCACCTGCGGGGCGCGTTACCGGCCGGTATGTTACCGCGTTACCGGCCGTTATCTTAATAGGTTAACCATCATAAAGTTAGCAGGTTAACGGCCTCCATGCTACATTTTACCCACCGTCAAGGTAGCAGGTAAACAATGTCAACGGCACCACCTCATGTATTGCACAAAAGCTTTAAAATATGTAAAAGTATATATGTTACAAGCAGAAATAGATATTGTAAAAAGTATATATGTTACAAGCAGAAATTGATATTGGTAAAAAGTATGTATGCTACCAGCAGTAATTGTTATTGGTAAAAAGCATATATGTTAGAAGCAGAAATTGATATTGGTAAAAAGTATATAAGTTTTATAAGCAGAGAAATGGTTGATAAGTAGTGTACCTGTACAGGCATGGAGGGAGGGGCGGCGTGCACCAACTGCTCGTGCTCGTCGTGCATGACACGTACACGACACGACGCCGTGCCTGCCACGAGCAGCGCACCTGCACGTAACGTACCGCGCTGCACCAAGCATGTAGCTACCTGCACGTAAATAAATCAAGGGGACTTTGTCCAGAACTAGACTTGTCACTACCTGCACGTAAATAAATCAAGGGGACTTTTTCCAAAACCAGGCTTGTCACTACCCTCACTCATAGAAATAAGGGAAACTTGTCTTAAATCGTGATAAACCATTTTTCCGCCCATAGGTGAGTCATCTTGACCTAGTTTGTCCTGAAAAAGCACATGCGTTCTACGTCCGCTCCCTGGCTCCCTGTATTGCAGTTAAGAAAGTGCGTCACACAAGTACATTGCACACAATGACACCTCCAGTCATTTTACAAGATTTCTCTTTAAATTCACCTCTTGTTTGTCTGTCTGTCTTTTAAAATCTTATAATCGATATTTAAAACACTTCTACCTGTCTAATCGATCTAAAATTTTGCACACTTGCGTGTAAAGTTGGAGACAATGCATGAATTAATTGAGAGAATACTAAATAAATTTAGAAATTAATTTTTTTTTCAATATTAAAAATAAATAAAAAATTATTTTGTCTTCTACAAATCTCATAATTTATATTTGACACACTTTTACCTGTCCAATCGATCTGAAATTTTGCACACTTGCATAAAGTCAGAGACAGTGCCTGAATCAGTTGACCGAATAAATAATATTTAAAATAAAAAAAAATTCAATAACAAATTTTTTGAAAATTGACTTTTATCATTTAAAAATAAAATTAGAAATTCATTGTACATGTATAACATTTAAGACGCTGGATTCTTTAGAAGTGTTGTCTTTAAAAAGTAATTTTTAAATTTTTTTTTTTCATTGTACATGTGTAACATCTAAGACGCTGGATTCTTTAGAAGTGTTGTCTTTAAAAAGCAATTTTTAAACGCATATTATTTATGAGTATATGCACAGCAAGGAGCCTTTGCTTTGCAGGTGGTGACAACACCTCCAGCAGTTGTGCTTGCCTGTTGCCGAGCATGCAAGTTCCTCTACAATAAGCAAACTCATAATAGTTCATTAACTTGTATTATAAAACTTTATTACAGTCACAATGAAGCTGACATCACGTTTGTTTATAGAAATAATTCAACACCCCAATTAAACAAAAATACAATTGGACTGCAATAATAATGCACTGAAATATTCGAAAATATCGCCACTATCTTTTCGAACATCGTCAAGATAAATTACAGCCTGAAGTCCGTAAAATATTGTAATTAAATACAATGGGTAGGGAACAAGATTGACTTTTACTCAAAATTTATTATGGATTTTTTAGCACGCAAAAAAATGATAAAAGATCAAATTTTAATGAACAAATTCTTAGAGTAAGATTAAATTTCATGGAAGCAAAAAAAAAAATTCATCCTTCTTGCGGACTCGAAAATGATGAGACGAATCCTAGCACACAAAGAAGGAACGTGCCTGAAGACAAAAGGATGCTAATCCTTCTAAAGATAAAACACACATCTGCCTGTCGAAGTTAAGGGCGGGGATGTTCCTGCCGAGCTTCGCTGAGATCTCCACGCACTGAACCTCTCCGCCCTGGTCCTCCAGTTGCACTCCGGCGTTCAGTAAGGAAGCACGTGCGCGCTCCTGACGTCAAATGGGGTCAAAGTGGTAGGATTGCCAGCGCTAAAATATATATTCAAGAATAACATGGGAGAATATCGTGAATGAAGAACTGGACATTAAAAACTAAGTTCGTTAAGTTTAAAAAAGTTTTAAATTAAAAGTTGAGTTGAATCATGCAAGGAAGCCTGAAAAAAATTTATTCAAGAATAACCTGCATAATACTGTGTGCGAGTGGAGAATTGAATAATGGAAACTATGTTGTTTTATATCAAATGTGTAATGGTGGGAATTATCACGAATATTTTCGTGTCATTCATCAGCAGTGATAGAAATTAATAAAAGCAATATGTATAGGACATGAAACTGACAAAATTATTTTTTCAATTTTTTTAATATATAAAATTTTTTTTTTTTAATTTTAAAAATCATTTATTTCGACATTTGATTCATGCATTGTCTCCAACTTTAAGCAAGTGTGCAAAATTTCAGATCAATAGGATAAGTAGAAGTGTATTAAATTTCGATTACAAGATTTGTAGCAGACAGACAGACAAACAAGAAGTGAAGTTAAAGAGAAGTGTTGTAAAAAGTTTTAAATTAAAAGTTGAGTTGCATCAAAGAAGCCTGAAACAAAATATATTCAAGAATAACCAGCATAATACTGTGAATGAAGAATTGAACAATGGGAATTTTGTTTTTATACCAAGAGCGTAATGGTGGAAATTATCGCAAATATTTTTGTGTCATTCATCAGCAGTGCTATAGAAATGACACCGAAAAAAATTCAAGTTCAGAAATAAATTTATGATGTGTACATTTGATGAAACAGTGCGTTAACAGTGCGAGTACATCAACACTTAAATGCATATAGAAATATGTAAAGATAAAACTCAATGCGAGTTTACTCACGACGTTTGCATCAGGTTTGTCGATCTTGTTGAGGGCGACGACCATGGGCACTGCGTGGGTACAGAAGAAAAATTATCTGCACATCCTTATGCTTTCAATTACAACTCTGTTCGTAATACAGTTCTAATACGCCGAGTATTCAGACTAGGAATTCATTCACCTTGTAAGAGTTGCTAATACAGTTTGAACGGATTTTTTGTGTGCATTTGCTACCTTATAAGTTCCTATATAATTTGGTCTCAAACTCTAAACGATGATTTTTGGTAATATTTTCATGTTTGTCTAATGAATTGTATTGAATTACAGGAAGAATGGCAGAGGAAGAGGAGCGTGGGCAAGACGGTTCCAAGACAACACTGGACCTATCAACATAAAGGAACATGAAAACCGTAGCTTACTTAATTCTTCATGTAAAAAGATCATTAAAACTTGCAATACGGAAAAAGTCATCTTTATGAATTCTGGAAAATGAAATATATTAACCCAGTTAAACGTGGTAAATTGAATAGAGAAAATGCGAATTAACACTATCATCCGTCTTAGAATATTGATTACGAAATAAGCCCCATTTTCAAGTACAGCAAGTAATTGATTATTGTACATAATTGTGCGTTTGATGTACAACACTGGAACATTATGAGAAAAAGTTTATACCCTTGTTTGTCCTCCATTTCTTTTTGAGGCACGCTAAATTAAATGCTTTAAAGCAGACAAATCAAGTATGTATAGGAGCAATGCATGGGTACGTTCCTCCCGACTCTTTGTTTATGAAGAAACAATAAAAACGATATGTGGTGCCTATGGCTATTGTAAAATATGAAGACAATTAATACGCATACAATTACGAGAAATTATTGACATTTTCTCGAAATAACAACGTACTTTTTGCCATTGCGTGGATAATCCTGACTCAGTTTCGCTGGAGAAAAGCGTATCTGTGCTACGTGGAGAAAGCGTGTTACTATCTGAACAACAAGACAAGACCGATCAATTCTTCTGAGTGATATACAATGCTTACGTGTAAGTGAGACGTGTGTATAAGTCTCAGTTAATAAACAGTTCTACATCGCATAAATCAAAAGTGTATCGTAGACCGGCAGTCCACTTGTGCCTCGCAGACACTTTATTTGGACCGATTTTGACATACAGGATCAGCACGCGTGATTTAATCATTTTAGTTTCCGTTAATATCAACAATGCAAATATAGGCAGTATTAGTTTTAATGTATAGGAACTAGTATTAGGACAATTAAAGTCTAATAAATATTCGTAATTACTTCAAGTTATAAGCCGCGGAAAACAATCGGTAACATCGCTTGATAATCAAAACATGCGCTCAAAAATGAAATGTGTCTTCTTTTTCTAACATTCTCTGCATTTATATTAAAAATTTATTACCATGCATATTACGAATGATTTTGATTCAGAATAATATGTCATCGGAAACTAAGGTTTATTCTAACAATGAAAAAAAGACAAGAAACAGTCCTGAATGACATTTCTATATAGAGGCCCTTGAACCATCATAAAAAATCTGACAATTAATAAACGGATTTAAACATTTTAGACTTTTACATATGTAATCCTAAAACTATAAGTGCGGTATAAAATATTTATTATCAATGCTTCAAGCTCGCATCTCTCGACTTGCGACAAACTCTTAATGTTTCAACAAATTTTCCAGATCAATAGTTCAAGTTCGTAACTATATATACCGGTACCACTCAGAAAATAGATGTGTGATATTGTTCACATAGTAAAAATAATTCACGTATCACTGATTCGCCCTCCTTTCCAACAAAACTGCGTCAGAATGACCCACATTACTTCAAAAATTGTATATCTATATGCACGAAGTATCATTTCTTGGAGTGATATAGAGTGATGATAAATTGCATAGCTATACAGACATAGTATCATTTCTCGCAGTGATATAGAACGATGATAAATTGTATAGCTATACCATAATACGGACGAAGCATCATTTCCTGGAGTTATATAGAATGATGATGAGTTGCATAGCTATACGGCCATAGTACCAATTCTTAGAGTGACATAGAATGCTAAGCTAGACCCACCAGCAGCCCTATGGCAGTGGTCAATGCTCTCCCTGGTCTGCGGCATGACGCCGTCATCAGCGGCCACGACGAGCACGACGATGTCCGTCACGGTCGCCCCACGGCCGCGCATGGCTGAGAACGCGGCGTGCCCGGGCGTGTCCAGCACCGTGATGACGGCCCCAGACGGCAGCGAGACTATGACAATAATGGTGATGACGGCCCCAGACGGCAGCGAGACTATGACAATAATGGTGATGACGGCCCCAGACGGCAGCGAGACTATGACAATAATGGTGATGACGGCCCCAGACGGCAGCGAGACTATGACAGATTAATGGTGATGACGGCTCCAGACGGCAGCGAGACTATGACAAATTAATGGTGATGACAATTCTAATTACTTGTTAATTGAGATAATATTAAGCTACACCGGCAGACCAGACTGGAACTAGACGATACCGTGAGATGGAAAGTAACAGTTTTATACCAATATTATACTACCGCTTGAAACCTTGCCCAAGCAAATTATAATTAATGTTGATGATGAACCCGACGGCAGCGACATCATTACAGATTATTGTCAATGTTGATGGCGATAATACCAATCCAATCCGGTAAATTTGCTTCTAACCACGCGAGAAAATAACTAAACATATTATACGAATATTGCACGTTCACTGAGAAAGATAGAACTATTCATAACATCACGGAAAGTAAGGTTTTGGCCAATATATTGAATCAAATGCAATCAAACTTGCACTAGAGCACCCGATTCTATGTACTTCGTTCCGATACTTACACAATAACAATTATTTTGCACTGGAACTGAAACTGCGGTTGATACGAACCATTAAGTTCATGTCAACACTACCAGCTTCTCAGCTGTAGTACTCTCACTGGAAGGCAAAACTTTGCCGTTCCTACTCACTAATTCGATGCCAATACCAGCAGCTTCCCTGCACACCAACTTACACTAGAAGGCATAACGCCACTGTTCCTGATCTCGAAGTTGATGACAATACCAACATCTTCGAAGCACAACTCACACTAGAGGGCATAACGCCGCTGTTCCTAACGACTAATTAGATGCCAATACCCGCATCTTCGACGCACAACTCACACTGGAAGGCCCCGATGTGCTGCGTGATTCCCCCGAACTCCGAGTCGACGATCTTTGAGTTCCTGAGGGCGTCGAGGAGCGTAGTCTTGCCGTGATCGACGTGCCCCATGATGGTTATCACGGGGGGTCTCGGCACCAGCTCGGCCGCGGTCGCTGCAGGCCTGATTTACATTCAGCATTACAGTGATACCTCATTCTAAGTATTTTTAGCGCATTTTCTCATTTATGGAAAAAATGCCCTATTGTGCTCGTCATGTCCGTCCGTCTGTCCGTGACTTCACGTTTTCGTCGACGAAAAAGTGCGCTCTCTGTCACTCACTGCAGTGAGTACTGTGTAATATTTTTTAATTTACCAATAGAATCGCTTTAAAGCCTACAAGATATATCTATTTACAAGGTTTTTAGATACGAATATCATTAACAACGGCTGACAAATACGCACTCACAGCCTCACAAGAGCCAATTCGTTGCGATGTCGAACTCGCATAGATTAACTTCACTTCTTAGAGTGCTATAAATATAGCTTTTAACCATGATGCTGGATTGTGGTGTTTCTTAATTTATATTAAATCAGGAGAACCGACAAACGCGTGTTATTAATTGAAATGTATCGCGTAATAAATTTAATTCTGACATTAACAGAAAGAAAAATATTTCAGAATCAGTTTTATGGTGAAGTTGCAACTCTGCAACTGCTCATATTTTCAATAAAATATTACACTACAAACGTGTATTTCATCTACCAAACGTGGCATTTCTCTACGTAACTTCTGAAATAAATGCAATCTTCTAAACATACAACTTGTTCTATCAAAAAATGACTCGTTCATTGGTTACAAGACCTACAGAATATTGGTCATAAGACCTCCTGAATATTGATCATAAGACCTCCTGAATAAGGATCATAAGACCTCCTGAATATGGGTCATAAGACCTCCTAAATCTGGGTCATAAGACCTTCTGAATAAGGATCATAAGACCTCCTGAATATGGGTCATAAGACCTCCTAAATCTGGGTCATAAGACCTCCTGAATATTGGTCATAAGACCTCATGAGTAAGGGTCACAAGACCTCCTGAATGTAGGTTATATGCCCCATATTACCTCCTGAAGGCGTCTTTGGAGCTTTTCTTGGCGGGCGCGGCGGTGGGATCAGGCACGACCATCGCGCGTCGCCCCGCTATCTGCGACGCCCGCGTCAGCACCGCCACGTCCGTGACGCTCGCTCCCCTGGACCGGAACGGTACGCTCGTCTCGATGAACCCGAAGATTTCCAGTACCGTTTCTGGCCGTGGGCACCGAGAGAAATACAGGGGAAAATCTTTGGCTTCAGTTGGAAATACAGTGGCAAAATTTTAGGCTTCAATTGGAAGTACAGAAGATAAATCTTTGTCAAAATTTTCAAAGTATAGCAGATAAATCTTTGTCTTCAGTCTGAATGTTTCAAAAAATATTGACGGAGTAGAATGTTATGCATGGCCACATAGATTTACATAGTAAGTACTTAAACCTGGTCATCTAGTTTCGACTTAAAAACAATTCTACCTACCAGAATAACACAAAATCATATCCAAGATTTCGCAAATGGAATACACGATGAAATTTTCGTTAGCATATTTTGTTGACTTTGTCTAGGGTTCTCTAAGCATTTACCAACGTCTCTCTCCAGCGCGGCGGCGAACTGCTTGACAGTCATGCCCTTCCAGACCTTGACGGGCACGGGCTTCGCTTTGTTCTTCAGGGGTATCGGGGCCTGTGGCACACGAGCGTCAGGCAACAAGGGCCGCACTATTACATCTCGTTAATACGTTGACTACGGAGTTGGATATATGCGTACCATGAAATGTATTTCTCCAGGACGTAGTGATACATAATTAAGGTTGCCTAAAATCGGCCAAATCCGAGAACAAAAAAGGCCAAGAAAAGGCCGACAACTCAATATATACTAATTTATTTGTAGGTTCCGCTATAAAAATTCCATTTATTTTCTTTTTGCAGTATTTAAAATTTAATTAGGAAGTACCCCTATCATAAATTTTAGCCGGTCAACGCAATTGAGAAAAACTAAATCGCAGAATTTGTCCTGAAAAAATGACCGTCTGGCAAAACTGTTTAAAAACGGTACTAAAAATGAAATAATAGTACAAGATGAAGCAATCGTAGCCAACGTGTTAAGTACATGAAGTGGTCTAGGTAAAAGTATCCTAGGTATTCGTAGTAGCCTAAGTACACGGAACAGAGTTAGTTAGTACACGTAGAGGCCTAATAGTACACGTGACAGAGTTAGTACACGCAACAGAGTTGGTACACGTAGCGGTCTTAGTACACGTAGTGGATTTAGTACATTAGCAGGCAGCCTAGTAAACGTATCGGCCTAAGTTTTCCATTTCTTTTCTGTGAATGGCGGGCTTGGCCTAAAAAGCCGTCAGTCATTGGCTGACGGAGTTACGAGCTCGCGGCTATTTTTGATAGCAGGGTCCTAGGTTTATCAATGAAATGGCTTTAGCTAGAGTAGGAGAAACATGAGAAGATATCCAGAATGTTTTTTAAGAAATTATTTCAGCATATATAAATGCATAGAATCTTCACGCATTAGGTTGATTGTAACTGAGCCTTTGATCTTAAAATGAGGTTGCTATCATTTTGGGATGCATTGCCTAGACAATTTGATAAAAATATTACTAGAGCTACTCATCAATTATAATTATTAGCAGCATGAATATCTGTTTCATATTACAGTGTTTGACTTACCCTCATTTTGGAACTTCGCGAAGATCCTCTGGCTGAAGTATAGAAGCAACAATCAACATATAAACAAACCGAGTCCGTTCTTCCGCCCACGCTTGTAACAAATGACCCACAACGGCTGGAAAAATATTTACAAGTCTTGATGCCGTTCTCAATAATTGATGCATGGTGCACGGGAAATATACTATGGTTAAACACGGGCAGACATTTGTGATAGGTCTTGTGATAGAAGCGGACGCCATCCATAACGGTTCTATTACATCTAAATAGAGTAGATCTTGAGCATAACAGAGAGATGCTGCTATGGAAAAAGATCTGCCGTGATCCAAATACAGCGTCCTTTACAGCTAAGATATTCTGGCTCCATGCGAACACTTTCATCGCGAAGTGACTAGAGTTAGTTGTTAACAAATTTCATGGCCGATTTATTAACATTATTTTTTGCTGGTGGATTGCTATAGCTAAATTGAGCCCGGAAAGTGAATGAAGGAAATGATCTGTAAAGAAGTGAGATTCATGCGAATTAAAAGTCATACAATATATAACTGAATAATGAGTAAAAATGTCAATTATATCGAACTGGGAAATGCTTGACTTCACGAAATAGCGAATCCTCGCGAAATCACCGAAGCCAATTCATTCGAAAACATGTATAATTTTCAAATTTTAATTGCCTCTGTTTATCAGAAATCACCAGCAGCATGCGGAATCATTAGTTTTCAAATAATAATTTGGGTTCATGAATGAAGAGGTCGACCGGTAGTCGGAAGAGGTATTGCCGCGTAAGTCAGACAACAGAGTCCACACCTCGCCAGCACCAGGTGCTCCGTATTTCCTTTAAAAAAAAAACTTCGTTCCAACTCCCCGCAGGATTTTTTATACTGCGGGGAGTTGAAATTTTGTTTCCTTTTCGGTTTACGTTTTAGTACAAAATAGTCGTGTCGCCGCTGAGCACGAGGTTAAGTTATGAATGCCACAAATTTTTGTAAATTAGTGATTTTTACGAGGAAGTCTTAATCTGCTCTGCTGAAAAGCTCTACCCGTAGTGACTTAGATGCAGCTAGTGAGTATAGTGGTTTCTTCGGTCTGCATGGTGGGAAGCAAATCTATCTTAAACGTACTTATATCTCAGCATGAATATATCGAGTACAATCAAAACTCATTCATACTCAGAGCGTCAACGATGGAGAGTCTCTTCCGCATGTCGGCGACACGAAACATCTTTGTTTAAGCGGCGATAAGAAATCTGGTACCATGGCCGAGTTGCACCATAGCTTTCAGGAGATTATAAACATCGTACCTTAGGTTCGCTGCATGTTACATATTCTTAACTGCCCGCTAGTCTTCATTTTAGAAGACATTATTGTCATCTTTTCTTCCGGTCTTGTTCTTGCCTCTTCAACCACAATATTCCAGGATCAGTAATTATAATCAAATTCGAAATTAAAGCAAATCATAACTAGATAACAAATGCAGGGAAATATACTGACTGCTCGGGACTCCCAGGGATCGCAGAGCCCCTTTGATGCGGGATGATACCCAGCACCCCCGTGGGGACAGGGGTGTTAGGGATGACATCCAGCACCCCCGTGGGGACAGGGGCGTTAGGGATGACACCCATCACCCCCGTGGGACAGAGGCGTTAGGGATGACACCCAGCACCCCCGTGGGGACAGGCGTTAGGGATGACACCCAGCACCCCCGTGGGGACAGGGGCGTTAGGGATGACACCCATCACCCCCGTGGGACAGAGGCGTTAGGGATGACACCCAGCACCCCCGTGGGGACAGGGGCGTTAGGGATGACACCCAGCACCCCCGTGGGACAGAGGCGTTAGGGATGACACCCAGCACCCCCGTGGGGACAGGCGTTAGGGATGACACCCAGCACCCCCGTGGGGACAGGCGTTAGGGATGACACCCAGCACCCCCGTGGGGACAGAGGCGTTAGGGATTGCAGATTTAAATTTATATAGTTTTAAAAAACACACAATAACGCATAACGCATAAGCGTTTTTTCAGGGCGATTGATGCAAAAGCGACCTTGGTTTCCTAATTATTCGGCCTTTAAGATGAACCTCTTTATAAACAATATACATCGAGGCACATAGAAAAACACAGCAAGTGTGTCATTATACAGACACACTTCTTCGTATGTAACTCAATGAGGCGGATGGGAAATATGGCGGGATGTCGTGCGAGATGCACGAGTATCGCCGACTCGCTCATTTTATTATTCCCTATCTAAAACATTTAGACCTGCAGCAAATGCTGAACCCAATGATAGTAATACATAAAAACTGTATAGGCTCATTTAATAAATAAAATTTAAGAAACACATTCAATCATCCAAAGCTAAGTAAATCGATACAAACAGAACACACAAGATTTAAACCTAATTCAGATGGGACAAAATTGTAGAAATATTTACGTTCGGATGGCAATGGAAGGACTCTCACAGAACCTTCATTCAAGTCTCTACTGAAGGCCAACTTGGCAATGAATGCAACTGAAGATTTTAAAACACAGCACTTAAAAGAATACCAATGAGGCAAGGTGGGTTTTTCATAGAATAACGTATAATTACTTCTAATTACGTCATCAGAAGTGAAATAATATAAATAGAGATGGAGACAAAAATAAAGATTAAGATTGCACACAGTACAATGAATGCTGTAGATAAAATTCAGAAATAGGATAATATTCCCGATTCCTTCTTGTTATTGACGGGATTACTTCGAGCTTTGGTTCGTAAAAATTCCAATTATAAATTCTTGTAGGAAACGCTAAATGTACAGTTCATAAAAATGCACTTTAAAAACATCACAGTACAGGCATTTGAAAGAAAAACACGACAGTACTGCAATAAGAAACTTCCTACGAAAAACTTGATCAAACATAAATTGTACGAGAGGAAAAGACGAAGAAACTCTCATTTGTGAGAACTTCGTTGCCGTCGTCACAACCAGAACGACGATGGATTCGATACGACGATATCCCATTCAGGATACTAGTCAGGGTGAAGTAGAATTAGGTATTTACTCAAATATTTAATTCATAGTTACACAGTTACTGAGTACACTGAACGCTCATCAGCAACTTAATAGAGAATAAGTGTAGATATGTTGAGTAAAGGAGGTCATCATACTGTACCTATGAAGTACCTAGTTTATGTTCGGAAGATGTTCATTAAAATAAAACATCTATTATAACAGCAGAATAGACACAAATCCAAGAAAATCATCGGGCCAGGGCTACCAACTGACCAGCAATTATAGTTACAACTCTTTGATACCAGCCTGCCTCCGATTCAAACTCAGCTTCTGAATGCAAAGTAGAACAACGGCCAAAAGAAATTAATTAATATTCATGATGATAAAAGAATACGAAATATTACAACAGATATATATAAATTTAAATAGATAGTTATGAAGGAATACGGAATGGTATAATAGTTGGATGTATGCAGGATCGATTACTACAGCAAAGCTGAGTAGACCAAGCGACCATTTCATCCAACGCTGATCATTGATTATCAAGAAGAAAACGCAACATGCTTGGAACGGTTGAAACTAAAAAGTAAAAAGCAAGAGTGCAAGTAAATACAATGAGCAAAAAGTTGAAAGGTTCAGTTGAAAAAGGGGAGTGGAAAATTTCTCAGAAAAGTCACGTCGTCGCCGATCACAAACACATGAAGATGGTTCCTCGCCCTAGACAGATTAATTGAGTTATTTACATCCCATCCGATACATTAGAAGATTTTCGGTATCAGCTTTTCACAAAAAATAATAATAATACAAATCAATGAAGAAATTAACTCGAGAATACCGTAGCACAACCAAGAGCCAGATCATTTAAAACGAAAAATGCAAAATGAAAATACAAATGGCACTCAGGCTCTGGCCACTTACTATCATCCTCATCACCCAATACTAATAAACGTAGGGTTAGAAAGAACAATGATCGTAAGATGGTTATCATTGAACGACTAAAATGAATTGATTATTGATGAAAATGTTACTCAGAGCAGCGATGCTTCGTCACGCCACTTAGATTATTCGAGGTCGCATGTAACTGCACAAGTAGAGAAAATTCTGTTGTCATGCAGCAGAGGCTCCCAAACGTTTCAACTTGTTCCCAATTCAACTTATACAAGCATTATACCTTAAGTAAAACCTGGCAAATCTGATGAACCAACGACTCATTCCTTTCACACCTCCATTACCTCCGAAGGGTGGCAATTCACCTCCAGTTTGGGAATGAAATAACTCTCATTTTTGATCAAAATGAATGAGTGGTAAAGAGCTTTTGAGTTGTGGTAGAGAGGTGTTCAGTTGTGGTAGAGGTGTCAAGTTGTGGTAGAGGTCTTCAGTTGTGGTAGAGAGGTGTTCAGTTGTGGTAGAAAGGTGTTCAGTTGCAGCAGAGGTGTTCAGTTGTGGTAGAGAGGTATCCAGTTGCAGCAGAGGTGTTCAGTTGTGGTAGAGAGGTTATCAGTTGGTCCTGAGCTGGTAGTCGCCGTCCTGGGTGATGTAGCGTACCCACGGCAGCGCCTGGTACCCTGACTTCTCGATGATCTTCAAGTATCTCACCTACGAACAAACAAATAAACAGATATTGTCTGTAGGAGCTTATATCAACTTAAAAACATCTACATTAATTACAAACTTGATATGGAGCATAAAAATAGTACGAAAGAGTTCTAAAACATGAAGTTCTAAAACAGCAGCCGATGTCGAGCATATGTGAAGCCGAAGTGCGCGCGCATGAGATATTCTTTCCCGCCCTGTAATGCAGCACGGCTTATTTATCATCATTAATTCTGCGACGGGTGGAACGCGTTCAGATATAGTGTATGTTCTGATAGTTAAACTTCTCCTATTGTTAAAAGATTTTATCAGATTGGCTAATATAACATCTTGCCAACTTGTAACTAATATTTAACTCGATGAGACAAAAAAAAACATAACGGGCCACAACCCTAAACTTAATGACTCGTGTTCAGCATATGTGCAAACATAATGACTCGTGTCTCAGCATCGATATTGCGATACAGTAAGTCGCAAAGGTACAGCCACTAACAGGAAAGCTTTTGATGGTCCAAACAATGCAGTTCTTCTCTGGCGTGTACTTGACGCTACCAACACTCGTCTTGAACTTGGGGGAGTCGGCGTCGTTGGGCACAGGAATGATGATCTCGACGTTGTTGGCTGTAGAGCGCCGCTTGAACTGAGACTTCGCCTTCACCATGTACTCGACGCGGCTGTGCGCGTGCCGCTCGATCACACTCTCGATCCAGATCAGGGGCTTCACCTGCAACAGCTTGCGTTAGTGACGGCAGTTCGTGGCATGAACGACACAGAAAATTCAGAGCATAATTAAACCAAACAGTTTTAAACTTCAATGATGTAGGGGGACTGAAAAAATCTTCAATTAAAAATACCCCATATATTAAAAATTTTTGGACCATTCTTGATATTTTAGAGAAAAATTGGAGATAAATAAGAATTTAAAGGAGTCAGGTAGCAGTAAGCTATTAACGTACGTGAGTGTTGAGGCGGTAAGACATGAGCTCAAACTCGCCGTCGGGAGGGATGAAGGAAATCGTGCGGTCGTTGTCGAACCTGTCAACCAAAAACGCAATGGAGCAAACGAACTTTGGATGATTTACCTATCTAGATAACCAAAATACTACTGAACGTAATAACTACAGATCGTAATTTCTTCAGGTAAAAGTGCAATAATAACGGTTACTTTCAAACACAAATGACCAATTCAAACACCAATGTGCAAACTTGATAGTAAACAGCATTATTTTAGTAATTCCAAAAATACGAGCCTTCTCATGGCACACAAAAAAATGGAACAAACATTTGTGCTTGCAAGAAAAAATAATCCTAACAACTTGTTTGAATAATTTGTCTGCAGTTCCCAACATGATCTTAAAAAATTCCTCAATGCTGCGAAGAAGTACAATGGTTGTATAAAAAGTTAATCAAATCAACTCTTACTAGCTCAGAATCAGTTATAGTTAATCAAGCGATCTATATCTCTACGCGAGAAAACTTCAAGAATCTCTTAAAACCTTTATGTAACACTAACAAACTCGATAGAAAGACGGCTCAGTGGCTTACAGACCAAAACCTTTATTTAATACAAACAAACTCGATATGAAGACGGCTTACAGACCAAAACCTTTGTGTAAGACTAACAAACCCAATAGGGAGAAGGCTGACAGACCACAAAAAGGTTACTGAAAGCATATAAATTCAGCAAATTTGAATAGGAAAAGAACACTTTCGTAACAAGATGTAATTCCGTAACTAATCTTTGATGTTTCATTCACATGGAGCTTAGGCATCTATACAGAATTTCCCCAACAGCCTCTTCTAGCCTGTATTCCCTAAGGCTTAGGCAAGGCAACTAGACAGAATTTCCCTAATACCCTGTCAGTTTCAGTTGCCTGGGCCAAGGGCAACCAGACAGTGTTGTGACAATAACCTATTAGTTTCATTTACCTGGAGAGGCGGACGCACTGGTGGAACTTGACGTCCTCGAGCTCGACACTCTTGCTCTTGCCGCGCCCTGTGCTCTCAAACAAGACCTGCACACAGGACAGGGTTAGGCTAGTGAAAGACTAACAAACCCAATAGGGAGAAGGCTGACAGACCACAAAAAGGTTACTGAAAGCATATAAATTCAGCAAATTTGAATAGGAAAAGAACACTTTCGTAACAAGATGTAATTCCGTAACTAATCTTTGATGTTTCATTCACATGGAGCTTAGGCATCTATACAGAATTTCCCCAACAGCCTCTTCTAGCCTGTATTCCCTAAGGCTTAGGCAAGGCAACTAGACAGAATTTCCCTAATACTCTCTGTCAGTTACAGTTGCCTGGAGCTTGGGCAACCAGACAGTGTTGTGACAATAACCTATTAGTTTCATTTACCTGGAGAGGCGGACGCACTGGTGGAACTTGACGTCCTCGAGCTCGACACTCTTGCTCTTGCCGCGCCCTGTGCTCTCAAACAAGACCTGCACACAGGACAGGGTTAGGCTAGTGACACTAGTGGCAAGACAGACTAGTGAACTGAAGTTTTATAGCATATACAGCTAGGCGAGATTGTCGACACATTATATGAACTGAAGTTTAATAGGACATACAGCTAGGCGAGATGGTCGACACATTATAGGCAGGATTCAGGAGTTTCACTTTGAATTTTTATATGGTTTAAAACCAATGAAATAATATTGCTTCCCTGTATTTCGAAGATATTTCACAACCAACTTTTCTACAGAAATTACTTCTTAGTAATGAGTACATTTCGAGAGACTGTTTGGTGCTCGGGCAAACGTAATGTAACTAGTCCATGCAAAGAGACCATTCGATGTTATTACATACACTGTTGGAAAAAACGGTGATAAAACGGTCCCACTGGCGTTCTAGTGGCCGGTCGCCCCGTGAAAATAAACTGTTTCGCCGTTTTTATCAGATGTTTTACGGATTTCTAGTGTAAAATTAGAATAAAAACGGCGACACAATGTTTCTTTTCACATGCCGACCAGCCACTGAAACGCCGGTAATACCGTTAGCGGTAATTTTTCTAGCAGTGTAAGAATACTTCAAGCACTAGCATATATATATCGAAGACACGAGAAACAGGTTGTCAGATACCCTGACCTTGTAATTTTTCTAGCAGTGTAAGAATACTTCAAGCACTAGCATATATTTATCAAAAGCACAGGCAAGTGGTTGTCAGATGCGCTGACCTTGTCGTTGAGGCCGAGCCTGAGCTCAGGCATGCCTGAGAGGTACACCCTCATCTTGATGCTGCCCACGATCTCGGAGCGAAGCACGTTCCCGCTCGAGTTAGCCTGCACTTAGCCATCATATATTAACTATAAACTGAACAATTATCATCATCATCATTGTAGAAATGGCTCGAGTTAATAACTAGACTAATTGTTAAGTGGCTAATAGCTAAAAGGCGCCAGAGTTGGTATGCATGCAATAAATTTACATCAATTAAAAACTAAACAATTTCGTTCACGTCACAAATACTCTAGGTGTAGTTCTCAGAACGATATTGTTCAATGGCAGTTGTTGATAAAGAAACCAGGTCAGCAGACTTTTTGATAATCCTAGTAAATACAATAATTTTGTCATTATTGAGGGAAGTAGGAGAAGCGGCGTGTGGCGATAATGAAAGAAATGATTGACATTTAAAGATGATTATACGCAGCATTCATAACAACGTGCTCACTCATCAGAGTTGCTGGGATAAAGCGTGCCGCGTTTACAAAAGCAATCACTGACAATGCACAAAAAAATGTTTGTGGCATAGAAACCTAAGATCCAACGGGTATCAGTTATTTTGGTATTGCTATGCAGTATAACTACTTGAATTTCTACTTATATTTATACTTTTCAAATATAATTTATACTTTGCCACGAGTATAATGGTATCGCATGTGCTGTGGGCGCCTCCAACAAACGATATGGCATAAAGACAAATTTCCAGGACATGCATAAGTAATTTCTTTCCTGACAATACTGCCACCCTATATAAATAGAGAGAGCTTATGGCACCCGTTGACGCCCTAGATTTAGGCATTTAAAGATGAATATCTACGGAATGCATAAGCGAATGCTTTCATAAAAATCTATAGAAATCGATGTTTAGCAAAAATATTTCTAAAGGATTTCTTCTTTGATGCTACCTATATAACTAGAAGAAGATTCCCGCACCAGCAGGTTGACGCCCTTGATTTAGGCATTTAAAGATGAATATCTACGGAATGCATAAGCAAACGCTTTCATGAAACTTTATAAAAATAGACGTTTAGCAATAATATTTCTAAAGGATTTCTTCTGCCATGCTATATAAATATAAGAAGGTTACCGCACCAGCAGGTTGACGCCCTCAATAACGTCCAGGAAGACCTCGTTCTTGCGGTACTTGATGCCCTCAGAGCGCCACGACACGGCGTTGGTCACGGCCATGGGAGGCCGCGGCGCCACCTCCAGCTTATGGCCCTCCTGGGTAATGTACCTGACATCAATAGCAATGGCAATAATTATACAAATATTACACTTTTTGATATACGTGAAATATTGTTTTTGTTTGTACGAACTCCAGGGTGATGTACCTAACACCAAAAAACAGGAGCAATCCAATATAAATACGATTTGCATCAACACAAAATATTGTCTTCACTTCTAATGCAACCTTAACCATCAACAAAATCCTGTACTAAATTTTAGCTATTTTTTCATTAAATACGTAACTGCAACGTTTAAGAGCAACTAAAATGTAGGCAAAAAACGTGACTATGCATTGTCAAGGTTTCTTGATATTCAGTGTTAATCAAATTAAAACATGGAGAGATATAGTGTCTGTGAAGCATCAATAAGACCTTAACGGCCCAAAGTATTTGAATAAACCATCAAGAAATTTTCATTTAAATTAAAAAATAACATTTTGATCAGAATAGAAAAAAAATAAACAGGAACTGTACAAGCATATGTTCAACAACACTTGCTGGAACTTATTTACACTGGATATTGGACACTGATAATAGCAAAACAATAGAAACTCACTCCTGCAGGATCTTCGAGTCGGTGGTCTGAGGATATCCAAAGTCCAGGAGCTCATCAAGCAGCTCGTAAACTATCACAAAGTTGTCTCTGATGCTTTCCTCCTCCAATTCCTGATCATCGTAATAAATTATCAGTTATTGGGAACTTGCAATCAAAATATTCAGGTAACTTGCAATCAAAATATTCAGATAACTTGCCATCTAAATTTAAAGGAAACTTGCAATCTAAATGTTCCAGTAACTCTTCCCTTGTTTCACAAATGAAGGGTTTTAGCAGAATCGCTATTTACACTTTGAAAATCAATTAGAATTTCAAGTTTGAAGTATAAATGACTATAAAAATATTGCAAAAGAAGAAATAAAAACGAAGTATATATATTGAATATGATAAAGGTTTCCATGATTATGGTAGCTGTAATGTAGGACTTGCCTTGAAATACTCGGAGCAAACATTGACAAGTTTGTGTAAGAAGGAGAAGACCATCGTCACATTCGCGTTGATTTGAGTGGATGAAACCACATACAAGTTGCTCACTTTCACGAAGCAGAATGTTGCCTGGTCCGTCTGAAAAACACAATGTTGTAAAATCATGTCAATTAAAAGTTAATGGATGACACCACATACAAGTTGCTCACTTTCACGAAGCAGGATGTTGCCTGGTCTGTCTGAAAAACACAATGTTGTAAAATCATGACAATTTGAAGTTAATGGATGAAACCACGTACAAGTTGCTCACTTTCACGAAGCAGAATGTTGCATGGTCAGTCTGAAAAACCCGTAATGATGTAAAAACAAGACAATTTAAAATTCTAAAACTCAATTTAAAAAGACAGCATAAATAATGAAAAATTATAGCCATCTAAATTTAAAGGAAACTTGCAATCTAAATGTTCCAGTAACTCTTCCCTTGTTTCACAAATGAAGGGTTTTAGCAGAATCGCTATTTACACTTTGAAAATCAATTAGAATTTCAAGTTTGAAGTATAAATGACTATAAAAATATTGCAAAAGAAGAAATAAAAACGAAGTATATATATTGAATATGATAAAGGTTTCCATGATTATGGTAGTTGTAGTTGTAAGACTTGCCTTGAAATACTCGGAGCAAACATTGACAAGTTTGTGTAAGAAGGAGAAGACCATCGTCACATTCGCGTTGATTTGAGTGGATGAAACCACATACAAGTTGCTCACTTTCACGAAGCAGAATGTTGCCTGGTCCGTCTGAAAAACACAATGTTGTAAAATCATGTCAATTAAAAGTTAATGGATGACACCACATACAAGTTGCTCACTTTCACGAAGCAGGATGTTGCCTGGTCTGTCTGAAAAACACAATGTTGTAAAATCATGACAATTTGAAGTTAATGGATGAAACCACGTACAAGTTGCTCACTTTCACGAAGCAGAATGTTGCATGGTCAGTCTGAAAAACCCGTAATGATGTAAAAACAAGACAATTTAAAATTCTAAAACTCAATTTAAAAAGACAGCATAAATAATGAAAAATTATACACTGAAGAATATTGCCTGGTCTATCTGGAAAACCCATGAAATTTTATTCACTTACAAGAAAATTTAAAATGGTATAATTTGATTCAAATTTCTTCATAATTAGTGAAGAAAACTACCAAAAGTGATGCTATACACAAATGATTATAAAGGACAAAGCTATTGCAAACACTGTGAGCATTAGTAGGAGCAGAAGAATTATAGATAGGTAATTCTGACACAAATTTTGAAATGTATACTTGAATAAAATTTAAATTAGCTCTAAAAAATCATACCAATTAGGTCAGATAGCACTTCCAAAAGATGAGTTAACAAAGCATACAAACCTGGACTATTGGGGCAAGTTGGCCATCATCTTCCCGCTCCATGACCAGCGGCATGAACTTCTCTATGGCAGACATGTCGATATCCCCACGGTAATTCCGGGATATCAACACCTGAATACAAAAACCTCCAAATTATTCCAATTTCAGGTACTTGCGTTAATTATAGACATGAAAATGTTTTGCAGAATGTAGCCACGTCAAGAATAACATGAATGAGAAAAAGACCCTTGTCATCCAAACATAGGTACCTACACACCATCTCTATGGCAAAAAAGTTAATGACCACCTCTTTAGTAATAATAGTGATAGCAACATCTGAATAAATTAACATTTGAATGATTATTTTCCCTAAAAATAGACTAAATACCCTACATCACAAAAAAATTTTCCTTCAATAATTAGAGGTAAATTTTTAGGAAAAGCAGCTAACTTGCATGTAATTTGCAAACATGGGGTTAAAGATCAAGGGTTAAAAGAAACAAAATGACTTGTTGGAGCTAATGAGGATTGTTTGAACAACAATTTGTATTTTTGTGAAGAAAATTCCAAGAAACAATTTAGAACTATATTCTTGAATTAAAAATAAATTCAATGCATTGCTAAAAATATTATTTTCAGGCATTAGGTTATGGATATACTCACCTTGCCTTTAACATCTAGAATATATATTGCTGAAATAGACATCTTCAATCTTCAAGCTAGTGCAGAATATTGAGTTATTTAGTACTTTACTAAGCAAACTTCAAACTAACACCTTGATTAGCAGCATTCACAATACACTCAAATCCTGGATTAAAAAGCAGAATTATTAACAGACAAATTACTCAGTATAAACACAAACAGTGATTAAATTCTAAAGCTTCCAAAAGCAGGTTACAGAAGTTATTTGATTGCCATGAAGATACCCATTCCTATTTATTGCCAGTTGCTGTAGAGAGACTGGGTTATCAATTATAAAAACCAATATCTGTGATTAAATTAGCAAGCATTCAATTATGCTTGGCTGCATTGGCAACCGGAATCCAGTATACATATACCATCAAACGAGGTAATAAGGGACGGTTTTGAGCATTTTTTGTTAATAACTTCTTATAATGAAACATTTCATAAATGAGTTTAGGCTTATTTTATAGCTCTTTGCAAGATGTATCGTATGGCATCTTAAAAAAATTCCATATGCTATTTGTTAGGTGGCAGATCAAAATAAAAGTGTAATAATTACCCCTGGGAAGTGGGTAATCTGGGACACTTGAAATAAATCTTAATTTTAAAACGTTTGAAGCATGCAGAGTGTACCTACTCATCCATTACTAACAGTGCTCTGAAGTTCTCCTCTTTGTTTGTAGATGATGCAGATGTAGAATAAATGACATTTTCTGTGATTTTCACTTGTTTTTCATTTATTGATATATTACTATATCCATACATTACTGTATTATTAATGTGATACCAGTACCGTAAAATGGGGTTACTTTGACCGGCGGGGTAACATTGACCACTTTTTGTTTTTTTAACAAAAACACCCAAAACTCAAAAACGATTTGACATAAGAACTAAAAAAGGCAACATCGCGTGAGATATACCATCGGTGCTTTCCAGTGATTGACTAGTTGCTGCAATTAGCGGTACGAACCTGTATGTCAATGTCAGGACTACTTTCCCGACATCCTCCTGGCCAGCAAAATAGACGCAATCAATACCTAATAACAATGCGAGCCGGTACGCCTCCTGGATACAGCAATAACAACGCGATATTACTGTATCCACTCAGAAATCGACACGGTCAGACACCAGATTTCAAGGTCACTTTCCAAGATGGCACGACCGCTTGGCCAGACCAAGCAATTCACGCCACTCAGAAATCAACACGGTCAGATACCAGATTTCTCGAGCCCCCAAGTGCTCAATCTCACATCAGGTCGAATGCTCGGCCAGAGCCGACAAAAAGTTGGCAACTTTGTGAAAAATCGCCACCAAGCATTGCTCGCCAAACCAGGATTTTGGGCTCAGTTCCTGGACGGCATGATTGCTTGGCCCCAGCAAGCAAATCGCGCCTCCAAGAAATCGAAATCCAGAATTTTTGATTTTCGAATCAGACACTTTTGGGGCATGATTTTGTCAGCTCAGAGCCGACGTTTCACACCCCGAAGATTCCCAGAGCATCGTCACATTTCATCGTCGAAGATTCACAGAGCATCGCCAAGTTTTTGGGGTCACTTTCCCAGATGGCACGATTGCTTGGCCAGGCCAAGCAACTCCCACCATCCAGAAATCGACACCCAAAATTTTCGATTCTCGAATCGAACACTTTCGGGGTGTGATTTTGTCGGCTCAGAGCCGACGTTTCACACCCCGAAGATTCCCAGAGCATCGTCACATTTCATCGTCGAAGATTCACAGAGCATCGCCAAGTTTTTGGGGTCACTTTCCCAGATGGCACGATTGCTTGGCCAGGCCAAGCAACTCCCACCATCCAGAAATCGACACCCAAAAATTTTCCATTTTGCCATGCTTCCATCATCAACCATGGCTGGCAGCGTGTCTGTGACAGCACTAGACACCACTGCCAAGGTCTCCACAGAGCTAGACAACCGTCGCACTTGTCAACAATCGTCCGCCAGGCTGCCTCAGGCAGCACCAGCCACCGGGGCACTGCTGAACCAAGCCAAGTCCAAACAGCGAGGAGAGCGGAAACCATGCTCTCCTAGAGGCGCCAAGACACGAGGACGTCATGGGAAGACTCGGGGAAGCAATCCCAAGAACTTCCCAAGATGACCCCTCAGAGTCGCCACCTCTCCCTATAGAAGTTTCTACAAAATACCATTGCCTGCACAAAATTTTTTATAGAATTTGCCTGGCCAGGCCAAGCAATTGACCCAAAATGCCAAAATTTTCGAAATTTGGGACTCAAATTTTTTGAGTCCAGTTTTGAAATGGGTCAACACTTGTCATGTCTAGCCACGTTTTTGCCACCCCAAAAATTTTTGGGAGTCCATTTTACCTTAGGGTAAAAAGTTTGCAATATGTCAAAATCCAGAAAAAAGTCGCCACAATTTTTGGGGACATTTCCCCAGAGCACCATTTTGAGATGGCGTGTTTGCTTGGCCAGAGCAGATGTTTTTGACCCATGTCACCAGATTTACTTTCAGGGTAACTTTTCCTTGACAGCACGATTTTGCTTGGCCACAGCAAGCAACTCACACCCTCCAGAAATCGACACCCGGCTTCAAAATTTTTGGGGTCACTTTCCTGGAGGGCACCATTGCTTGGCCGCAGCAAGCAATTCATGCCACTCAGAAATCACCATGGTCAGACACCAGATTTCAGGGTCACTTTCCAAGATGGCACGATTGCTTGGCCAGGCCAAGCAATTCACGCCACTCAGAAATCAAATTCCAAAATTTTCGATTTTTGAATCAAACACTTTTGGGGCATGATTTTGCTTGGCCTTAGCAAACAATTCACGTCCCCAAGATTCCCAGAGTCTCATAACATTTCTCAGAAAACCAAGTTTTTGATGTCACTTTTCGGAGGGCATGATTTTGCTTGCTGCCAGCAAGCAACTCACACCCTCCAGAAATCACCACGGTCAGATACCAGATTTCTCGAGGCACCAAGTGCTCCATCTCAGAGCATAGTGACAAAGCAGAGAATTTTTTAGACTTCCCCTCAGACTCAGAGTAGGTCGAATGCTCGGCCAGAGCCAACAAAAAGTTAGCAACTTCGTGAAAAGTCGCCACCAAGCATTGCTCGCCAAACCAGGATTTTGGGCTCAGTTCCCAGACGGCATGATTGCTTGGCCCTAGCAAGCAAATCATGCCTCCAAGAAATCGAAATCCAGAATTTTTAATTTTCAAATCAGACACTTTATACTGGATACAGTAATATCACATTAATAATACGGTAATTAATGAATATGGTAATATAATATCAATAAAGGAAAAACCAGTAAAAAACACAGAAAATGTCATTTATTTTAAATCTACATCATCTACAATGAAAGAGGAGGACTTCAAAGTACTGTTAGTAATGGACGAGTACACTCTGCATGCTTCAAACGTTTTAAAATCAACTTTCATTGAAAGTGTCCCGGATTACCCCATTTCCAGGGGTAAATTGGGGCGGTTTTATTTTGCATCTGGCACCTTACGAATAGCATATGGATTTTTTAAGATGCCATTGGATAGCCCTGGCAAAGAGATATAAAATGAGCCTAAACTTGTTTCTGAAATGTTTCATGGTGAGAAGTTATTAACAAAAAATGCTCAAAACCATCCCTTTTTACCCTGTTTGATGGTATTAAAAATTCATCATTTGATGCATGAACAATTAGACAGACAATTAGTTTTATCGATAGATAAATACGCTGCAAATAGGACCAGCACTTAAAAAAGTAAGCAAGAGCTTTTGTGATTTTAATGCTCAATTTTGCTAAGGTTATATTGACCAAACAGTGCGACACTTAGCGGCTACCCAATGCACGTGTCAGTTCAATGGCTTAGGACTGAATCGACACTCCTCCAAACACGCTTGCGGACTCAGACGAACAACCTAATTTTTCTCTCAAGCAAACCCAGTCATACAACCTTCAATACTGAAGGGATCAGCTTGAAATTTGAATACAAGTATGTATTATCATTGTCCTGCAATAGAAATAAATACCGATTGCTCTATAGTCAATAGAGTCTTCAAAACGACGAAATAGTTACATTTTAAATATTTAGATGAGGATGAGTGAAATCATCACAAATTCGGACAGATTGTAAAAAATTGTTTCTTGTTTGCTGATCCAAATATATTGTAAACATCCATCAGAAATTGTGCAAGTGTTAAATATAACTTGAACTTAATATACCATTCATATGATATGCAGCAAACCATTCCAGTTCATTACGACTAACAAATAGATCGTCCATGATGGAAGAAAATAAGTGACAGATGAGGCTTATTGAATTGACTCATATCACAGTATCACTCAGTAAATAATTATAACATCAAATCTTTTTTAATGAAAACATGAGTGTTGATTTCAACATATAACAAATATACACACCTTTAGAATAAAAATGAGCTAAATGCATAATTTTATTTATAATTTTAATAATAATTGACAGTCAAATGACATCAATCAGTTGCAGACATGCATTTGTGGAAAATGTTTGTGTTATTGTACATCATTTGCTCCTCCAAATGTCCCCAGCAGTGTGCATCACATTGAACTTGGTTTGGAATTTGGTGTTGTCTTAGTCGTGAGATGCTATTCCTACTTCCTACCGTTTAGTTTGTTTGCTTAATTTAACTTAAAGACAAATTGTTAAGGAACAAACGCTTCTTAAAGTTAGTAATCTAATTGAATATTTTGGGAGTCTGTTGCAACGTTTACTTAATTGAACTTTGAAGTTGGTAAATAAAATGGACATGGTAAATTTTAAGTAGTGAGTACAAATTTTCTCAGAGTACCTAGTGGTTAGACTTTCAGGTTGACCCTAGGTGGATCAAAATTTAATATATGAACCTTCAAAATTAGAATTCCATCCTGCGCCATGGTCATAGGAAAGCCTTGCCCTCAGGCTCTATTGGCCTAATAGCATACTCAATTACAGAGAAACAGCTCATGCAGTCATGCTCTTCTGAAAACACAGTTGGTTTGCCTGGTACAGAGCCCACCAGCCCCACCTTGACTCTCAAACTGAGTCTCAACTCTCAATGCAACATGACCCATGAGTGGCCAGTGGAATTCTAGTAGGGTAAACGTGGTATATTCGACACATTAAGGATGCATCGAGAAATGAAAAACTATAAAAAATGACCA